GTAGTGTCTGTGGCTGTTGTAGTGTCTGTGGCTGTTGTAGTAGCTGTGGTTGTTGTAGTGTCTGTGGCTGTTGTAGTAGCTGTGGTTGTACTAGTATCTGTGGTTGTAGTAGTATCTGTGGTTGTACTAGTATCTGTGGTTGTAGTAGTATCTGTGGTTGTAGTAGTATCTGTGGTTGTAGTAGTATCTGTGGATGTTGTAGTAGTGGTAGTAGTGGTAGTATCTGTGGCTGTTGTTGTAGTTGTAGTGGTTATCGTTGTCGTCGTCGTCGTCGGTGGCACAGCCGGACAGGCAAGCCCGGCGTTGACATTATTGGTATCTAAAGTTACAGCGCCATTCCTGGCGTATAGCCCTCCATTGGAGCTTGCACCAGTGACCAAAGTGATAGACATGAGCGCCAGCACGTTGCCAACAAAAGTAGTGGTGGTACCAATGGTAGCTGAGCTGCCCACCTGCCAGAAGACGTTGCAGGGCGAGGCACCGCCGATAAGAATCACAGAAGAAGCGGTTGCCGTGGTCAGCGTCGAATTTATCTGGAAAACCCAGACACTACTCGAGTCGCCTTGGCCGTCAAGTACGAGAGGACCGGTAAGCTGCGCACTAGAAGAGAAGGAATAGACACCTGCAACGAGCGTCATACCGCCCAGGTCCTGGCCAGTCAGGTCGGTGTTAGGCTGTAAACCAGCCGCTACATTGTAAGCAGTCGTCACATCTGCCTGTGCCTGCGCCGCAAGTGCATCTGTCATATGGATCATTCCGTTGACGACCACGCCAGGAGGAAAGCCCGATATGGCTGAACCAGGAGAGACGCCGACGTTGCCACTGATTATCGAGGGACCAGTGTTGGTTACGGCGGATCCACCAAGGACTGCAAAAGACAAGGCGGTCCCGAGATCAACTTGGGCCTTGATGACGCCGGCTAAGGCAAGGGCTGATCCGAGAAAGCGTAAATAGAGCATTTCGCTGAAGATTAGGGGGGCTGATGAACGAGTGTGGTGACGGCAAATAGCGAGTATTAGGGAGTCGATATAACTAAAGGAGCGTGATGGGGATGAATGATCCTACTGGACTGGTTTATTACCTCTAGATAAGTCACATTCCCTATATTTTTATCAGGCTGATGCTGGAATCAATACTTATTGCAGAATGAATGATAAGCCATGGGCCCTACATACCTTGGTATGAAGTGGCATTCTATGAAAGTATGAATCAAATCATTCGTCGAGCATGCCAAAGGTATACTTTTAATATTAGATAGTTTCATTTCTATTACATCTTTCGAATTGGTGTTAGTGTGCAATAAGCCCCAAACTGGGATTCTCATTCTTTCTTCTCTATATTGTTGACCTTTACTGCTGTAGCAATCCCAGGAACTAATAAAATCTTTCAGCGGTGAATCTATTGGGCAACGCTGTTATAGTGTATGACTAGCTAGTGACTATGATAGAGGCAGTGCCTGCTTGTTAACAAAAAGCTGTAATAATAAACCATGGATAGATTACTAGATATTATTTTATAATATAGCTTCAGCTACTTTGCATTATGAATGAATTGTGTATAACCTTGGCCAAATATCAATAAATCTATTGAGAATGCTATGTTAAGAATGTATGTGAAAAATGTTATATGCGAAGAATGGGGTAAGTGAAGAATGCGGTAAGTGAAGAATGCGGTAAGTGAAGAATGCGGTAAGTGAAGAATGGTATATGTGAAGAATGTTGTATGTATGTAAAAAATATTATACTAAAATACATTTCATATGAGGAGGATTAAGAGCTCTAGAGTTTAATTGAATACATGGAATACATACTGCGGATAAAGGATGGAATAGAACAATGGATTTAATAAGTGTAGGACCATTGCGATACTAATTACCAATTACCAGCGTCTTAAAAAGAAAATACAAGCGCTTCAAATTTTGGCAAGATCAATAAACAGAATTAAAGCAGTAATTTTAAAAGTAAGACTGTCATGAGCATTATTCCCTTGTGATGATTGGTAGGTATACAAAAACTTCCGTGTAGGAGATTGATACATCCTTGACAATCTTTCATTCCACAGCTTTAAAAACATAATTAGGCCTTAATCCTGATTCCTAATTTATCGTGAGTGACATTGCCGCGAAGGAATGAATATCCAACATTCTTTCAGGACACCATTTCTCCTCATATGCGGACGGGATACATGGTGCAGATCAAGAGCCATGAATATGTACACCATGTAGTTCTCATACGTTCCCACCCGCATCATGTAAAAGGCCACCGCGACAGTTTTCGCACTAGAACCTCTACGCCATCTGAAGTTTGCGAGACACGCAGGTAAGTGATCTATTACCCATCCTTTGCATCATTTGCAATTTGAACTTGTTTGCATAGAGCGGAATAGCTGTCAGTAGGAGCTAGCGACTCTTGAAGAGCTGCATCTACGTGAAGACCATGGTCACAACGCGTCTCTATTTTATTGGCTAGGATTTCTTCTCGCCCTTGTACTGGAGGGGGTGTGAACCTACAGCTTCTCGTGCGCCCGTGCATGTCGGAACACAATTACACTACCAACAGGGTGAAAGAAAATCCAGCTTTAAGAATAACCACAGTCAATCTAAGGAAACAACGAATGAAATGGGAAATAAACAGGACTTGGAATGTCTCCCAATAGCAAATATGCATAGTAACCCGTACAACTCTTGACGAGATTGACTGCTCAATCCCCACGAATAATTGTATCGATTATGATGTGAAGTCTGTCGAAAAGATTCAGGCGAAGATATTTAAATCTAGAACAAAATCAGATGCTAAAGAAGCTAATAGATTCTGCGCATTTACATTTTCTATTTTAATGCATAAGTTTTGGAGACCATGGGAAGCTTCCTTCTCCATACTTGTATGCACAGCTCATTATATAAGAGAAGTTGATAATAACGAAACAAGTGTAACATCAATCACTGATGCTCAAAAGTGATAGTGGCAGAATCAACGAAGAATCTTACAAGAGAAGTTCTTGCAATGAAGAATCTCTCCCTCCACCTTGAGGTCATATAGCCGCAGCAAGGCAACGTAACATCCAATAAGCCCTCTATACTGGCAACTAACACAAAAGTGCTAGGTATGCAATCTTATGTACATATTTATCGGTGCTTAGAGCGCTTTTGTCCAATAGCGACTCAAAGCATAGCGAACAGAGCCTCACTAGGCTTTCCCAAGCGACGCTCCGCCTCATTTGTGTGGTAAGAAACAAAAGTAGCATTGGGCTCAGATCTTGCGGCCCAATACATACATGATAAGCCTTGTTTGGGTTATATTTGTGTGAAAACTTCTCCAACAGTATCTTCAGCGTCCAAAGATGAGGTGGCTTCCTTGGCTGTTTAACAGCTCACGCATGGCCGAGTCTTGTTTCTCATGCTGCTCAGCCGCCAAGACCATGCGATCGAGGTGCTCTTGAGATATGCGGTCCTCAGAGTTGCGAATGAGAATAGACTTCTCTGCACCGGTGCCCGTGTCGTAGGCCACAGCCTTGATATTACCACTGGAATCAAGTTCCAATGCAACCTCAATGCGAGGGATACCACGAGGCATGGGCGGAATACCTGTCAGCCAAAACTGGCCGAGCAAATTATTGTCACGGGCTTGATAACGCTCGCCCTCAAACACTTGGATGAAAATCGAAGTCTGGTTGTCGACGGCTGTGGAAAAGGTCTGGGTCGCATTGGTGGGCATACGGGTGCTACGCCGAATCAGCTTGGTCATGGCCCCAGTGCTTGTTTGAACACCCAGTGTTAACCCGCTGTACTGTTTACGCATAGCTTCTTGGAGTTCCCAGAAGTGTTGCGCGCTGAGCCACACATCAGGATCGTCAGAGAGAAGAGCAGCCTCATATGCAGCACCGAGGACTACCGCCCTGTTGCCGTCGATAATGTTGATAGCTTTCTTTCCTTCAAAGAACTCTTCAATGAGAGCCCGAACTTTGGGAATATGTGTAGAGCCACCAATTAGGATAACGTCATCGATCTGGTCTTTGCTGACATTGCTGAGCTTGAGAAGTCGTTCAATCGGCTCCAAAAGGTTTTGAAATAAGCCCATACTTAATTCCTCGAATTTGGTGCGTGTCAGGGTCCCAGAGAAATCTCTTCTCTCGTGGAATGACTGAATCTCGAGATGAGTGTTTGTCCGCGTCGACAATTCCCGCTTAGCCTTTTCAGCCGCACGATAGAGCTTTCCCATAGCTGTGGGATCTTTAGTGATATTGACTGCATTCCTCTCGTTGTAAACTACAGTAAGGTAGTTGACAATCACCTCATTAAAATCTTCACCACCAAGGCGGGTTTCGCTATCCTCGGCTAAGGTGTTGTATACGCCCATATCATGATACAGCAGCGACACTTCCAAATTACCACCGCCGAAGTGATAGACGAGAACATGATGTTCGTCATCAATATATTTGCCGGTAAGGCCGGCACACCCCAGCCCTACAGCGTGCACGGCAGCCATGGGTTTGCTGACGATTCGGAGAACATTGAGGCCGGCGACGGATGCGGCATTTATGAGACCCAGTCGCTGGCTGGCCTGCATGAGAATTTGAGAAACCGTTTTTGGTGTTTGATAAGCTTTGGATGTGACTCACACTAAAGCAGGCTGGAGCCGTGATGACAGCATGAGTAACCTCCTTGCCGAGATATACCTCTGTTCTCCTTCGCAAATATGCAAATATTCTAGCGTAAACGTCCTCTACTGGGAATTGCCATTCTAAGCCGTTTCTCTTGACGTTGAAGACCGGCTGACCCTCTCGGGAACCTAGATTGTAAGGCAAGTGGTCGATATCAGCCAAGGTCCGCTCACCACTGAGATCGCAGGGAATGTAACGCCTCCAACCCGTTAGTATACAATGCACGTAGAGTGATCAGAAGCCGTACTCAATATCATTCCCGACGCCGACGTCGGTTGTCTTTGGGTTTACTTCCAGCGGACCCTTCACAGATTTGCCCAGCGAGAAACCAACATCAGGGAAGGCGATACATATAGGAAGGTCTGTGCTTCCGTTGTTGTGAAGAAGAACTTCAACCTCTCCTTGATGCATCACCGCGACGCGACTATTTGTTGTGCCCAGATCCTAACCCTCATGAGTTAGCGAAGTCCTCACGGCGTACGCGAATGTGGCCGAAATCACCTACGATCCCGATGACGGGTCCCGTCCAGCCGTGGCCACCGCCATGGGCTTTGACAGCATTAAGAGAAGGCAAAAGACATAATATGAGATTAAGAAACATTGGAGCTTTAATCTAAGGGCGCCCGGATGCGTGTGGCCGTGAATCTTCTGGGAAACCTAGGGGGTTGAAAATCGTTCTTGGTTGGCAGAGTATGCAAATAAACAGGCGCTAGCAAATGTCGAGCTGGACATAAAAATATGTAACGTGTTACAGTTGGATAGGTTGAGAGGGGGACCCCGTGTTTTCCAATGGATATGGTCGTATGTGCTTGGTTGTGGAGTTGATCATCTTATAAGTCTTTAGGTGGAAGGAATACAAAAAGGCAAAAACATACAACAGCCGGTGTTCGCTGGTGGTCACCCACCCAACTACTAATCTGCCGGTTAGTGGCTTATCTATGGGGGAGCAGACGGGACCCCGAGTTTTCCACTACCTATGGTCGTATGTGCTTGTATTATCTTTCTGCTACATTATATCCGAATCTTCTTTCTAGAAAATGCTGCTTCTTGAAAGAAGCGATGGCTCGCAATGTCTTGCAAAAAATACAGCGCGCTGTGCCCGCGTCTTCGTCAGCGATTTCAGACAGTCGCCAGTCTACCTCTTCATATGCTGCACTATGCCCTGAATTTCGCAAATGTCAAATTCTCATCCTGCATTGCACATGGGTAATTCTTCATTCGGGGAATGATTTGAGTCTCGGAAATGGCGCCGCCTGAGCTGGAGCTGGAGCTGGAGCTTCTAGGCGAAACTGAGCTCCAGACAAAAACGCCTGCGGGACGACGATTCCCTGTTGGCTGTCCAACACTCGACCTGGCGGCAACGTGGGATCAAGACGATAGGAACCTGCTTGTGTATCGACGGCCGGATCAGATTGTGTCCAAGATCCATCAGGTTGCTGCTCCAGGTGAGGCGGCGCCTGAAGTGCGTGCTGTGACTTGGAGACCAGATGGTAAGTAAACATAGACCTTCCTTCATTATTGCTATATCGGATATCTAGTATGGGAACGCTCAATCTAACTTGTGCTGGAAACAACAGGCCAATTTCTCTCCTTGGGCTGGAGTGATGGCGTTGTGCGGCTGATGGGCCTGGAAAACAACAAGGCTGCTCACCAGATTCCGGTATGCGACAAGGCTGAGACCGCAATCACGCATATTGGCTGGTCAACCGCCATCATCGCCAGCAAGACAGACAGTGCCGTCTCTAGTAGGATCGGGGACGAAATCACCAAGGGATGGGCTGAGACGGGAGGCAACATCCCACTTGATCTTCCACAGGAGCTCACCTTTCTAGAGGTTGAGACGGCGCTTCCCAAGATCAGCCCCTTGCCGATGAGCAGTGCTGGTGCAAGGTGAGTTTTCTCTTTCACTAATCTTATCCCAAACATGTATACATATGAGTAGCGTCTCTGACTTTGATATGAAATAAAAACAGCGAGGATACCACTGTTTTCACACTGCGCAGTGGCATCGACTTTCTCTTTCGAGCCCCCAAGCGGGACACTTATGACCAAGTCAATGTCATGATCGTGGGCACCAGCGACGGCAAGCTGCAGCTGAGCATCTACGACTCATTCATCATCGGCACATTCCCACAACCAGCACTCGATTCGTCTCCCTCGGAATCATCTGGTACGATTCACATGATACACCACGCATCTCATCCACAGGTGTCGACGCATTCTCTCATCTACGCAGAAAAGCAAAATGATCCCCAGGAAATTCACCTTGTCCCCATGGACTTGCCATTCCTCTCCTTCTCCCCTATCAACCTATCCCTCCTATCCTCCAAACTCACCACTCTGCAAGCACTGCTACGGTACTTAAAGCAGATATCCCTTCACATGCAGGTTGAATGGAAAAACGCAAGAGAGCTCCCGTCTCGCTTCCTCCGTAGCGTCCAGGGAGGCTTGGAGGAGATGAGCAGTGGCCCCAAAAATATCGTCTCGGCTCTATTTCACACTGCCATAACCGGTCATGCCTACCCGGCCGTAAAGGAGTGGCTCGTCGACAGCCTGGCAGAACGAGTACGTATACGTCTCGCTTCCTGTCACCCCAAAACACTCGCATGCTAATAGAAACCACATATAGGGTCATAAACGCTGGGACAAGGCTGTCGTATCTGGTCTAGAAGGCCTTCGCAGTCTCGTCCATCAGCACCTCCTCCCAGCCCTCGAGCGCTGCTCCATCATCCTCAGTCGCCTCCGTGGCCTGGCCCGCTTCTACAACGACCGCGAAGACATCGGATTATCCATCCCCCATCTCAACCGCGTCCTCGACATCGTCAGCTGCCTCACCTTGGTCGGACACAAAGTCCTCATCCACACAATGGACGAACTCCAGCATTTCTCCGCCTTTTCGGCATGGCTCCGCTTCCAAATCGACCAACTAGCAGGACCCAGTACGGCAAACGACGAGCTAACCGACAAGGAGGCCATGATGGATCATTCCAAAGTCTTAACCTACATTGAGCGCTACCTAACAAACAGCCCGCTCGACATATTCCTCAACGAGTTCACCAAGGAAGACTACACTTCTGATTACAACTTTATCGAGAATGGTCCAAAGCTCCTCGACGTCCTGGACAAGCAGCTGAAGAAGCGCGAAGCCGGCCAACCCGGCATGAAAGCCTTCCCGCATGTCGACTTCCTCGTAAGTTATGCCACGACGTGGTCCAACAAAATCTTTAGCAGCATCGCCGAAGCCAAGCGGCGCAGCGTTCGCTTCGGCAACCCGGTGAAGATGTCTATCGGGAATCCCATTACCAAGATGGACATGAAGATGTGCAGCTCCGATAAACGGTCGGGGACCGTCTTCACGGCATTGGCATCGCTGCAAGATCCCAACAAAGTGCACGTTTTCAGGGTCGATATGACGATTACAAACGGCATCAGCGATAATCAACCTGCTACAACCTGCGTCATCGACCTCGCTCCCCGATCGCTGGTAGACATGAAGTTCCTCGACGACAAGACACTTATTCTTTTTTGCACCGATACCGGTATGTTACAACTCATTTTCCTTCCTCCTCTCCATTCCCATCCTTTTCAGATTTGCCCTGGTTACTAACACACTCCAGATAATACTCCTGCTATCCTTTCTGTTCCTATTCAAGACGAGTCAATACTCTCCTACAGCCCGTATAATGCCGCAAACCCTGCTCAGGTGTCTTCTTTAACATCAGCCGAACACTTCCCCAAGTACAGTCTGCCAGCCAACCACCACAGTCTCAGGCCCATTAGAATGGAAGTTCACGATAAAAGCCAAGTTAGAGGGGATCTGCCTGCCCGAATTTGTCTTTTGGGGAGCAACCGCACAACATGGCGGACATATAAATTTCCGTCCGACGGTTAAACGGTTCTTCATGGTGTTGTAGGCTTTCTATCGCAGGACTTGATACAGCATTTAGACAGTTGGGGCTTATGAGAAACGATTAGATAGTGTTGAATTACGAAAATGGCAAATAATTCAATGACAACAATACTCTGCAAAGGACTATTTACTATGAGGCTATAAACATTGCCCTGCCCCAGATTAACCAATAAAACGCCAAAACTACAGCCATTGTCCCAATTCCCATACAGCCCAACAACCAACCTCATTTCTTAGGCTTCGTAATGTCAAAAAACTCCGTCAGCCCTTCCACCACCGCCTCGACATTCATATTGACCAGCGGCATCCTATCGTACGAATCATCCGTCATAATCGCTACCAGCGCAAGATATCGGTCGACTTCGCGAAGCATGATGGGCTTGTGGCTGTCGTGTAAAACGAGGCAGCTCTCTGCTGTCGAGCAACCGACTTGGTCCTCTAATTTAGCATTAAAGGGCTCGCCCTCGAGGCGTTTACGGCCTTCGTCGCTGCGCTGCCACGTCCCGTAAATCTCTGTAATATCAATAATAACATCGATGTAGTCGCTGCAGATCTCGTAGCTGGCCATGTCAGCCGTCGCGGTGTCAGTGGCAATGTAAATTTTGGAGAGCACATCGAAGAGGTAGGCTTTTTCGAAGCGACACGTTCGGCACAAGTTTGTGAGCATAGACTCGAGCGTTCCGAGACGGGGAATCAGTTTCTGAATGACTTTGCTAAAGGCCTCGAAGATTGAGTGGTTGTAAATAGAGGTGAGATGGAAAGTAACGGGAGCATTTTCGAAGCCATGGTCGGACAGCTCGTCTTGAATGCGAATAGTAATGTCTCGCTGTATATCTAGCTTGTAGTCGTCTGAAAGCCCATCTACTTTGTGAATAAACACCTCAATGTTGATGTTGGGATATGTGCGTTGCAGAGAAAGGATGGTGATGTTGAGGCGAGCAACAGCCTCGAGATAGTCGTCCTGAGCATCAATGACCCAGATCAAGGCCCCGATTTCGCCAAAGATGGCCTCCATGTCGAAGCTGGGATTATCAAAGACGTCAATCTGGCCAGGAAAATCCCATACTTGAAAGTCCATAAAGGATCTTTTGTCCTCAACATATCAGCCAGGAGAATTGACAATTCGAAACGGGAGAAGAGAACTCACGCCATCGTATCCTTTTGTATTCGTGCCGTTGACTCGAGAAACAGGGTCTCATTAGGAGCGAGCTTGTGAAAAACCACACTAGAGATGGATGACTTTCCGCTCCTATCAATGCATTCATCCGTCAATGGGGCTTTCCTCATGATCTCCTGTGACAGGATAACCTACCGTCTCTGTCCCATCAACAACAAACGCGGCTTCCCCTTCTCTGGCGCGCCGCCGGCTGCGTCTGCCGGTTTCAGCGCACCTTTTAATACCGGTCCTCGGTTGTTCTGCTCGTAAAGAAGCTGAAGTTTTAGCCTAGCCGGACTCATAACACCTGAACGAGCGGGGGAGCGACTGAGGGCATCGAGCTCAGCAAGCTGCTTGTCTGCAGGCGAGCCGTAGATGGGGGGGCTTAGGGACATGATTGATGATTCGCCCTCTGGTGAGAGAACACGTTGTCTGCAGCTTCAAGATATGCACTCTTTGCTCCACGCTTGTGAAGAGCTTGGTTTGTGCAGTTGATACCAATGTACGCAAGGAAAATCCTCCGTAGTAATATCCAAGCTGACTGATGGTTGCCGGCAGTCCACTAGTAAGCTGTCTCTTCTCTCATCATCTCTCTGACACACACACACAGCAGCAGCAGCAGCTACCTTCACCGGTCTTGTCTCTGCGCAGCCGTGGCTTGCTTGCCTCAGCACACGTACCGCACAGCTAAGCACAGCACAGCACAGCACAAGCCTCGAGAGTCCCCCGTCACAGGAAAGCAAGAACAAGGGCCAAAGCCTCAACCTCCGAGCACGGTTGCAGCGCAATCAGGCATCAAGGTGACACGAGCCGTCACACGGGCTGCTCGGCTCTTGCATGCTGGCCTCCTGCTGCCGCGGCCCAACTTGCCGGCTGCCCAAGCGAGTCGAGCCAGAACCATGTTCGCCGGTGCCCACTCGAGCTGCAAATGTCTCTGTCATCCCACGTCAAAAGAGGGAGCAAGATCCGGTCACGAGCCAGGGGGGAGAGGGTCTCAGGTATCAGATGTTTGCTTGAAACCAGGCTAGGGAAAGGGCAAGAAAAAGAAAAGAAAAGGTGAAGGCAAAAAGGCAAAGGGCAGCTTGTGGTTCGCCATCAACAAGAGACATAGTGGGTGACACACAAGGACACGGCGAGAGCTCACTGGAGCAAAAGCCCTGCCCTTTTGCGTATGACAAGGCGCTTATCGAGACACACGCATGCACCTGCAAAATCCTCTCGCATCGACGGCTGAGAAAGCCATAAAAAGCAGAGGCCCGCGAGCGAATGGAACGAAGCAGAAAATGCCAATCTCACCTCCATGCTGTAGTGCGAAGGGAAGTCGGAACAAGGCCAACGAGCCAATCGAGAAGCGCGGGTCAGAAGCCGGCCAGCCCCGACCTGCAGCAATCAAAAGATAAAAATAAAATCGAGAAACTCTGGTGCCTTCGCGTCGTTGTCGCGTGTCGCTGCCGGGGGGTGGGAATGGACTTTCGCAGGGGAGAGAGGCTTGGGAGTGGTTACAGCTGCATTGGTTTGGTTTGGTTGAATCCAATGGATGGGATTTGGTGATTGACGGATCGACAGCCGGTGGATGGGAGTTGCTTGCGTAGGTAAGCAGCTTTTAGTGGCTGGGGCAGAGCGGAGTGCGCGCTAAAACTGTTTGCTCGCACCCACTGTAGCGTCGGTGCTCAAGCGCTGTGGGGGCTGCGGGTTAGTGCATGATGGGTCTTTTTCCAGGTGCGGCTGGGCGCTAAAAACGGCGCTCCAGTCCAGCTTCGCTTCCAGGTTGCCATGAGGGCGATGAGCATAAGCTTGATCCTTCAGGTTCAGCCTCACGGGACGCGTCCGGTGTCTTTCTAATGGACATGATAGGTACGATGATGACTGCAGACGTTTTATTTGCCGTCATTGGATGTAATTCAGGGAGTTGTATTCATGCAAACTCGAACAAATCATCACTCAGAGCCCCCAACAGCCAGTTAAAGTACTTCCACTAATAACTTACGAGAATACATGAGAACACAGCCAACATCCATCATTCACACGCATCTACATCATCGGCGTGAATACAGTTACACAAGAGAATTTATATCAAACATAGTTCTTCTTTATTTATAAATATATTGAGCTAGACGCCTGTTTTCCTTGGAAAATGCCTCTTATATCCCACGCTTGGCTGGCCACAGTGGTTAATCCGCCTAATATCCACCACATCGTTCAGAAAAAGGAAATGGATGGCAAAAAAAGCAAGGCCAAAACATGCCCTCCCAATGTCTCTTCGCTGCTCTTTGTATCTTTCAATCAATGGTATACTCCGCAAGTCTCCCGGCTCAACTGAAATGAAATATCCGCAGAAATAGATTGATGATCCGCAATGCATCCAAACGCCATTCCATGTTGGTTTTCCATGTGCTTCGATCAAAGGTAGGTAGACAGCCCTTGGCATCCAATCTCCTGACGCGGTGCAGTTGGCTGCCCGCGCCAAACAAGCAACGCCTCATTTCCGCCGAATAAACAATATGCCCATGTCATTACACAAATGTCTTCTGTACTCTAGTCTTTGGTGACGTAAGACCTGTCTCTGCTTTTCGCTTTCCCAACACCGGCTCTGGCGTGCGTCGTGATAGGCCTGGTGTGGACTCTCGATCTCTTGTTGCCTCGGCACGGCATGAGGCGTGATATGCTCGGTTGCCAACCAAGACCGTGTCGAGCCATACCCATTCTTGCACGGTATCAAACCACTTGTTCTCGAATCTCTCCTGACAAATTGGGCACACATTGTTGATGCCGCTGCTTGAGTCCGGCACGAGAATGTACTTGGGGCCCTCTGAGTCCTTTGACGCTTGAGCAGACTCCTCTTTGGAGGATACATCGTGTATCGCATCAACCGCCTCGCGAGCCTTGACCCAATCCTGCATATCAAGTCAGAGTTTGCCTCCCTCTACGGAAATTACTATCAGGGGAAAGAAACTTACCTGCTGGTCCACATACCAACTCCGGTGTGTGCCTCGTTTCTCCGCCTCCGTGCTTCGTTGGTGCACTTTAAAGTGCCAGTCCATATGAGCCGTTTTCTTCCTTCTCCCCTCTTCATCCGTCTTGAATCGTCGTCCACACTGCGTGCAGGGAGGTCCTAGGTCATCATACAGCGCGGCGACAGCGTCGGGGCGGAATCTGCATCATTTTGTGAGTAAATCAATTGCAAGGTCAAAACATTGAGGCTCAACTTACTGTAGCTTTAAAGCGGCCGAATCCAGTCCAGCAGAGCCACCCAGTCCATCTGCGCTAGAGCGACCAGAATCTGGCTTGTGAGCAGCCAGCAAACTAGCAATGCTCGCTGAAAGGCCTGGAGGGAACATGGAGGGCGGCGGTGGAGGAATTGGCATCGGGATTTGAGCCGGCATATTTGGAGGCGTAGCAGGTGGGAGCATTCCTGCTGCCCGAAGCTGATCTAACAAGGACGAGGCATTTGGGACAGGAGCTGCGGCTGCCTTGGGTGGCTCGATATGGTCCATCTGCGGTGACCGTATGGGAGCACCAGCAAACGGAGGCTGGGGTGTCGTGTTCTGAGAGTTGGCTGACTGCATGCTCAACAAGGCCGCCATCGCCCCTTTCCCCAGCAATGAATCAAGGGTCACTGAGGCAGCAGACTGGGCTGCTGGCACAGCTGACGGAGTTACAGAAGTTGAAGGAGGGTGCACAGGAAGCGCCAGAGGCGGCGCCGTCGCTGGTGCTGGAATAGGGGGTGTAGAAGTCGCAGAGTTACGAGCCAGAGGAGCCCTCATTGTCACGGCAGCAAGTTCTGTTACTTTGTTTTTAATGAGCTCAAGCTGGTCTGGTGGCAGATTCGAGTGCTGTACAACGCCCTGAAGGTCCAAAAGAGCTTTTAATCTGCTCTGGACACCGCCATCATGTGGGTTCTGCGAGAACTCGGCCCTCATAGCAACAATCAGGTTTTGAATGTCACTGTTCAAGGTCTCTACGCTTATTCCAGACGGCAGAGGTAGACCTGAACCATACGCCGGGTGGAAGGGAACAGGGGTTGAGTTGTAAGAGCCCGTGGTGGATGGTGGGGGATAAGGAGCGGGCTATACACAGACTTGTTAGACGAATATCAAACACATTTCATGGTGAGAAAGACTGACCTGCTGCCCAGGGTGCGGTGCATTGCCGGGTATTGGCTCACCAGGGTGCCCTCCATTGGAGAACGGGTGAGGTTGAGGCGGAAAATTCCCAGCTGGGCCGGGATATCCACGCATTCCCGGCGGCGTCGGTGTGTTTCGATGAGGGAACATTCCTGGGCGAGGCCGTCCAGGTATGCCACCCTGGCCCTGCTGCGGCATGCTCGCTGCTCTGACCTTCATCAAGGCATTCTCGATCGGCCGTACCAGCTCGTGTGAAAAGACAGGTCGCGTGTCCATTGATCCAGGAACAGGATCCTTCCATGTTTTGAGCATCTCCTCCATCTTCCTGCGTATGCTGTGATCAACCACCGCGTATGATTCCATAAATATCTTGAAGAGCGATCGACCGAAGTAGAGCGTATACGGAGTGCCAACATTCTTGACAATCGAATCCATGACATAGAGGGCTGGAAGTTTCTTGTTCGGTGGCGCCTAGTTATATATGAGCATATGAGCATTCAATAAGAAGGAGAAGGGGGAGAAAGAGAAGCGGAAAGAGAGCAGCGCATCACAAGGTAACTCCCATCAACCAAACACGCCAAATAGAATGTCCTCCTACCTTAAGTATGTGCTGCTGCAGAACATCTGCAATGGCCAATGCATGCTCAGTATTTTCTCTAGCAATTACTGTCAAATTGCTAATTTCAAAGCGCATATTAGATGAGAGATCCTCCAGGGCAAGGCGATAGTCCTCCGCCACTTCGGCCCCGTCAGATGACATTTTGAACTGCTTTGCCGATAATGCAAATAATATTCTTAAGAAAACAAACAGAAGGCCTCGTGACAATCAGATGCGTTCAGGGAGAGAGGGAACAAGGAGTAACGGTGCTTGCGCAGAGGCCCCAGTAGACAAAACAAAGAAAAATGCTGCCGCCTGGAACAAGAGATATGAAGCTAAGTTTCGTATACCAGGCAACGAAATGAAAGCCGACACAATAATCGCACGTTCAGGAGGGGGCGAAGTTTACTCCAAGAGATACTGATCCTGGCCTCCGCCGTCCTCAACCTCTAAACCCAACCACAAACTATCGTATAGAACCTTGAGAAAGCCCTCTTCAGCTCTGCTTCTTAATACCACCGAGTTCACTCGCCGCGACTTCAAACACTATATCCGCAGGCAAGCCTACGCTAGAATGACCCCCTGAGGTCTGTGGGATGCTGCTGAGATGCCGCGACAATGGCTACTTCCAATGATTGAGTCGAATGCTGTGACGCTGTGGCGAGAAGATGCCTCCCGAGCTGACGATGTTCTCACCAAAAGCAGAGGCGTAGAGAGGCGAGGGAGGACAAGCCGTCCGTCTGGGAATGCGAAATATCGAGGTTCGAGGGTACAGTCTGGTTCCCTTCTGCATAGAGAAGGCTCGCACCGTCAAATGAGCAGCGTCAGGTCGCCAGAGCTATCATTGAGGAGGGAAAACAAACAGAGTTGGATGGGCAGATGGAGCGATTGCTTAGAGGTTGATGCTAATCTGTGGTCACGTGATTTATCAATTATCAGATGCCGCACGGGCCCATTGGTGGTGAAGTAGCTGAGCCGGTACCTTTGTAGAGACAAATGTTCTGAAGAACCGAGATCTAAATCAAGGAAACAATAGGCGCGTGGGCACATTGTTTCGCGATGCAGATACCTAATAACAAGGGTTTGATTACACTCATCTACTTCCAAGGTACAATAAAATCCATACCTCGGGTACCTGTTCCTTTACGTTTTACCAGCATCAATGCCACTTACTTTGATCACATGCCCACGCGACTTGGCTCGGTACGTCCTTGATGTCACCAAATGCAGGCGAAGATCAAAGAACATTGAAGAGAGCATACAAGTCACGCTTCTTTCAAGATGTTTTCTCTTTTATGATATAAGTTTTTTTTCTCGCATTGAATCATTGCTAAAAATCACTCTTTAAAAAAAAACTGCACATGCAAACAAATCAGAAAGATCATGTCCAGCCCTCTTTGGGGTATCTCAGTATTATCAGCCCTCGCTTGTTCCCAGCCCTCAACGCCCTTGATCCATTCGTCCAGCTCTCGGACCTTCTTTGTCCATCATGAGTGTCATGTTCTTTTCGATTTTCGGATTTTTTTCTTTCCATTTTTCTTTGTTCAATTTTCCCCTTTGAGAGGAAGAGGCCCCAGGCTCTGCCTTTGTCAGCGATCAAAACCGTGACATGTTGGCCTCAGAATACCGACTGCTGCGGATACTGCGACTGTTCATTGGGTGCAGAGCTGTGTCGGGGCGCTTAAGTCCTGGAATAATAGGACTGTCGCTCTGTGCTTCGATGTCACGGGCCGGGTGGCTGGTGTAGGGAGGGCTGATCTCGGGATGTCCATTCGCGTATTCATCCTTTTCCTTCTTCCAGAACATGGATGCAATCTTGCTCCTGTACTTTTCGTTTCTAATGGGAGATGCCCGGATAGAATTATCGTATTCGGTATACTGGCGTTGTGATTGTGCCAGCGAGCCATTTGCGCGGATGTCGCGAGACGTAATGCCTTCTTTTCTATCACACCAAATGAAGGAGCAGACGACGTTGAGAAAGCCAAAAATGAAGGCAAGGATGCCCGCAGCCAGCACCAGCGATGACAGGGCGGAGGACATCTTCAAGTCGTGATTGAGCATTCCCAAGATGTTGCAGCCGATGATGATCATTCCAAAGCCCAGCCAACTAAGTCCATGGTGGTCGGAGAGGACCGGCCACATGCGACGCAGGTAAACCTTGATAAACTCCGCAAATGCAAGTTCCGAGACAGCGAGTAAAGAGCAGAAAACGGAGACGAAAAAAAGTGTAAAGCACTCGAAGATGAAGTACGGCTTGTTCTTTTCGACGTTGATGATCAGGATCCAGCAGGCAGCGCCGGCAGTCAGGAGGGTAATAACGGTAGCCACTCGAAGAGCCTGGAGAACGACCAGCCCAGCGCCACGGAGAGCCGGTGATTTCATGAAGCCAGCCATGGTAATCGTAATCGCTCGTGAAAAGGTAGTTGTGTTGGAATGAGTGCTACAGAAAATGGTCAGTGGGAGAAATTGGACGTTTGGCGAGAAATACTCACTGTCAAGAGGCTTGAACAGTAGATGCTGCCCGTCAGTGAATGAATGTGAAACACCGTAGTTCAAGAAGTGTGCTGCGTTCAAGTCGTATAGATGTTGGCGACAGAACAAAGCCTAGTAGATGCACAGAGAGAGATCGAGAAAATGAGGGAACCAGCCCGGTGGCGATGAATATGAAGAGTATGAAGAAAGGAGAGTGGAAGGAAAACAAGGAAAGAATGTGAAGCTACTGGAAAACGATTGGAAAGAAGCTTCAATATCTTTTCACACAAATACCATTGTTAGGCAAGACAATAGGAAAAAAAAAGTGATGGACGAAAATCCGAAAAGCACGCTGGAAGAAAAGGTGTGGGCAATCTGAAGAGAGGCTCAGCACTTCTTTATTAAGAACTACGCACCCAATCGATGCCAACCACAACACGGCCGCTTGCCGCCCTCACGAGAGAAGCAAAGACAAAGCCCCTGCTGCTGAAACAAAGCACAGCTGGAGAAAAAGCAGCGCTCCTCTGACGCGCATCCAACAGATCATGGGGGCGCTCGCAGCAAACAGCTGGCCGTCGTCTCATTCACAGCTTCAGCCAAACACCCGCCAGCCTCCAAGGCCAATCGTTTCCGCAGAACCACTCCAGCAGGCCAGGGGCCAGAATAGAAAAATAGAAAATATTAGCCGCGCCGAGAGCAGCTTGTTTCATAAGCAATCCGGCCGCCATCAATGGCCGCGCTTGCACCAGAACCGCAACACTGATCAAGCTCCAGAGCTCCTGATCAGAGCCGCGATCCCACCTCACCTATGCAAGCCCTGTCAGAGATTGCTGCCACGCCGAGAGTCTGCAAATAGCAGCATCGGGCCATGATGAGATAATGCGTCGTTTGACAAGATCCAATGAAGTCGCGGCGGCAAGCGGCCGAGAAACGGGCCATCCGTTGGGAGTCTTTGGTTCCATCTCAAGGCCGGGATTGTGAGGTGGGTTGATTGGCTGCGAATGCGCGTGTAAGTGTTTCAGCAGTTCTGCAGGCCCTGTGCTGAAGCGCTACTCCAGGTACGTACCCACGGCAAAAATTGCTAGCGGCCGATGCGCGTGAAGGAAGTACTGGTACTTGGTGCGAGTACTTTCATCCCCGACATTAACAACCTTAGGTGCGACCAAAGATAGGAATGCTTGTGGCATCAACAAACGCACATTTTCGCAAATAAGAAATTAAACAAGAATAGGGTTTACCACGTCTTTAGTCCCTCGACTATCCGTTGCAGAATCCAATGTTTCGGAAACGTTGGAGTTGCACTCGGTGCCGAACAGCTTTCCGGCACTGTATATGGCACTGTGTTGTTGGCTCGAGATTCATGTCTCATGGCCGGAACAGGAACCGAAGTCGTTAGGTCTCATGCATCAAACTGCCGGGATGGATTCTTAAATAGTCAATGCGCCTGGGATATTCAAAAAAGCAGCTCTCTCAACTAGAAAGTCTCTCTTTGCTTCTTTTAGTCCCGAGAACATGGGGAGAAAGGGAACAGGCAAAGCCGATCATGGCAACTGTACCGACGACCTTCGGGCACCTTCGGCAACGGGCTCGAATTCAACCTAGCCGCCGAGATTTGTACCGAATGTCTGGGTCGCAAACAGGGTTCGCATATCGAATGCGGAAGTCCCTGCATAGTTGCCCTCGACATCGGATGGTCATATAACGGCCATAGATCGTCAACTCAAGTAGCGAGACACGGCACACGTCGAGGGAGAGCACAGACGCAAGTACCTTTACGTAGTGTAAAGTATGAGGAGCTACAACACGGAGTATATTAGCGGCTTTAGATGGAATGCTTACGGGCCCTAGGCACGGCATTCTCCGATTGGCTCTGAAGCCACTCCGGCAAGTCCACGTAGATACTTTGACGCGAACTAAAGCCTCTCCTTCATCCATCCTCACATCCTCAGCTGTATCAAGTTATCTAGAAGCAGTACCAATCGCTCCACCATGACCCGCGGAAATCAACGTGAATTGGCCCGTGCCAAAAACTTGAAGAAGGAAGCCAAATCAGTAAGCCAACTGCCCGTAAACGACGCCCAACAAATACAGATTGGATGACTAACGGAGTATCAAAAATATTCACAGAAAGGCGGCAATGGCAAGTCTGGCTCTGAGCTGGCGAAGCAGGGCTTGAGCGATGCCGAAAAGATGCGACGGAAGCAACTCGAGGGTGCGAATAACCAAATCTACTCAATACCCGCGACGAATCAGTCAACTGACGAGAGCAACAGCCGATGAAAGGAAAAAGGCAGAGGAAGCAAAAGCATTACAAGCAAAGATAGATGCAAAGGCCAAGAAACCGACTCAATTGGGCGCTTGAGCCTCGAATGTTACATGCGAATACCCCAGTAGCGCGGCAAGAGATGGAAGAAAACACGGCACGGCGAAATCAGGCGCTCCTTGAGACTTTTACAATACGGCGCAACTTTGGGATGATCTAGGTGAAGGAGAGGGAGTATTTTTTTTGGATTGAGACCAGGTATAGCTTCGATATACAGCGAAAATTGATATTTTGTTGCGGTATTGCTATTGCTATTCCAGCAAAAAAATGGTTCGCGTTTTATGTCCCCTTTTTTTCCCCTGATAGTTTATTGCTTGTGATATCGCTGCGGCTGAGCCCCTTCATTGCCAGCCCACTACATGCATATGACACCATTAACAGATACTTAATTACAGACTGAGCAATTACAAAATGGGTTTTGCTTTGTCAATTTTAGTTTAGTTATTTGTTCAATGCTAGTCTACTGCAAGTAAATTGTGTCTTATCAAAGCAAAGGTTTATATCAGGGGCTAGTATCCCAAAAAATATTGCCGCAAACCTTGTATGGTTTAGAGGTACTTCTATAAAGTATACGCGTGGTATATAATCCTTGCATGTATATTTTTGGGAGAAAGAAGAAAATGTTTTTACTATACTTGTTGTCGTAAAACATGTGACATCTCTTCATGCCTCTCCTAGAGGAATAGTAAATTCAGAAGCTATACTGAAATTACCGTCGTAGGGATGGAAATACGGAAAAACTCCAATCACAACGGAAACTGTGAAATCATCTATATACTTCTTTTATATTGATGCAACCTCCGGACCGCGTCCACCTTGATTTATATAGCAAATTGCTCATTTGTTCTTTTCGACTTTTTCTCTAGGGTAAGGTAGTTTTGGTACTTCGTATTCATTCGGCAGATGAAACTTTCCTCAAACATGTGACTAAGCCGAGAAGTTGGCTACAAATAAACCTCGCTTTTAATTCGTCACATGAACCCCACTCGCGATTAGATAACAACACAAGGCTGCAGATATGTTGACGCCACCTGGACTTTTGGTGTCTCAGCCTTGTCTATCTCTCGCTGGCCACTTTGCCCTTTCACCTACTCACCCATGCTTTGTTAAGCGGAGTGTGGCATTCAAAATGGCAATCTCTTGGGATTCGTGAGTACATATCTGTTAAACCATGCATACTGGAGGAAATACTAATCCTTTCAACCATAGCATCCGGGCATTTGTCCTTTTCTTTGGGCCTATGCTGCTCCCAAAGGCCATCTCCTACTATCGCAGCGTCCGAGCAGCTCCCAAACGACATGGCCTCTCCGTGCAACCCCTTCCGCCCATGATTCGTATAGTTGTATTCATGCTCTACTTCTTTGCGTTTCTACTCGTCGTGAAAACACTACCGGCCGCTTCCCCAGAAAACATATTCACCAAGACTCAAAGCCGGCTACAAATACCGGTCGATGTGTTGTTCAACCGTGTCTCGGCTTTACGACCTGAGAATGCCTTCACAGCATGGGATCATACATTGAGATCCAAGTTTGTCAACCTGGAAAGCCGTCTGTTGTATTTCCAGTATGGCCCGGAAGTGCTGGCCGAATGTATCTTCTGCACGGCCGACGAACCAAAGAGCTACTTCTACTATGCGCTCCCTTCAATATTGTGGCCGCATATTGGCAACCTGATCATCCTCGCCATCGTCACAAGTCCTTCGGTGACAGGAAAATACGGCTCGCAATGGAGAACGACAGCAACAATCTGTTCCGGCATTCTAGCTGGGCTGGAGGTGTACTTTGTCAGCTCCTACAATTATCAGGCCAACTCGCGGGCGCTTCGGCTTAACGACTTGGACTTCTTTTACTGGACGATGCGAAGCTACCGATTCGTCGCCCTTGCGGCACTCGATGCGGCCGTTGCATATGTTTTATACCTTTCATCTACCAATCGTGCATTTGTGCTGCCTCCATCTCCGGCGGAACGGATTGAGCTTGTCAACCGAGCACTTGTAGCTGCCAGGAGCAAGGTGAACGCGGCTGGCATAGTGAAGAATACCATCATGCGCGATGAAGACTTGCGGTCGCGCTCCCAAGCTTACTGGCAGCATGAGGTCCGACTCATGGGTGAGGTGATGGAGGAGCGAGAAGTCATTGATGGGGTGAACGACGCTTTGAGCAACAGGATTGATATCCAAAACATAACGAGGGATGCAGAGACATACACTCAGAATGTCTTGCGACCAATGCAACAAGAATAGAGACCTGGCATAGCATAGCATTTCATGTACACATTTGTTTTGTATTCATCTTCCACTTTAGTTGCATTTCATCTACAATTTTGAGTCATTTCGTCGATGCTGAAATATGTATTGCGCTGTAAAATATCTATCATTGTCTAATAGCTACATCAAGACCTAGATTCTGGACGGCCTATTGTCACACCTGCAGTTGCTACGCTACTTGTGCTGCCTTTCCTTGAGGGGCCATCGCTGGTTCCCTCTTGTGCACTACGTTCCAGGAAGCCAGCCCAGAGCTCTGCCAGGGACTCACGATCTCTCGCAGATGAAGGCTCGGAGAATATGTCGGCACTTAGTGATGGTGAGCTAGGAGTGCGCTGGAAGGGTGAGAGAGGAAGGCGAAGACTGTTGGTAGACCCTCCCGGACGAGCAAGTCCAGCTTGTTCGCGCTGTTCATCGGTCCAGTTCAGATAGCCGGCCATGACCTGCAAAACCTGGAAGCGCTTGGCGTCGCCTCGGTCTAGTGTGAGGAAATGGAGTAGATGATTTGTGACGACTTGTCTGTTAATATATGTTAGTACACTGTCATATTCTCTCTCAATAGGTGATAGTGCTTACCTATCGACGTTGTCTTCGGGTTTTGTCTTTTTGAGATATCTTAGGGCTTTGGTGAGGTGGTCATTCAGCACAATAGCCTCATGCCGCAACTTTCCGATGAGAAGATTTTTCTCCTTGACCTCCTTTTCAAAGGGAACGGTGCGCTCGAGTTCCTTGACGAGCTCGGCCTTGGCTTCTTGTGCTTCTGAAGCTTTCGCGACAGCTTCTTGTACCAGTTTCTTTTGCTCTTGGAGCTGGGCTTCACTGGTCTCAACCAAGTCGCGAAGCTCCTTCTTTCGGGCATCTTGGATCTCTCGTAGCGCATTTTGAAGGTTGTCGATTAATGTCGCCTGGCTATCGCGCTCGGCGGCAGCCGCCTCGTATCCTTCTCTTAACCCGACAATTTCTTCCTCCAACTCGGCAACTTTGTCTCCAAGATTCTCTTTAATAGAACGCTCCTCCATGGCAATGACTTCCCATTCGCCCATGGCATTGGAAGTTGTCTCCATCTCTTCCTTGAGATGCTGGATGGACCTAATGAGCTCTTCCCTCTCCTTCCCCCAATTGTTTGCCGACAGGTTATTGCGACTTCGAAGTGTGGTAAGCTCTCGCGTGGCATCCTGGAGCTCTTCTCGAACCTTTGCCAGGCTCTCACTGGACGACTCTGCTGCATTTCGAAGCTCCTCGTTTTGCGCCTCAAGCTCTTCTATGTGTTCCTTTGCTTCCTCTAACTCGGCCTTGTCTCGCTTAAGCCGGTCACTCAGTGTCTCCTTAATTTTCTCGACTCGCCCAAGTAGCGTCTGGTATTGCTCTTCGGCGGTCTCTCTTGCGGCATTGCTGTCTTCTAGCTCCGCCTGCAGCTGTGACACCTCGGCCTGGTGATTTTCTTGAATGCTTTCTAGTTGTTTCCGCAGCTGCTCAACCTCGACTCGGAGAGCCTCTCGCTCTTTACTCATGGCTTCTAGCTTGGCCGATGTGTCGGATTCGCCGTCGGGGTGTTGCGCAGGCGCATGCGGCTCAGGATGCTCGTGGTTCGACGGCGCTACTGGGTGTCCGTTGGTTTCGCTCTTGGGCTCTTCGGCGTTGTCGACATTACTCGTACTTGGGATTTCCTAGCAACGTGATTAGCGCGATTATACAGAAGTCGAAGCTTCAGCACTGGCTTACGGCGGTTGTGGGCGTGTCTGGTTCGTCCTCTAGCTCGTCCTTGTCGATTCTGGCATCGCCGTTGCTCGTCTGCGCCGGCTCTTTGCTCTTGTTCGCATTCTTCTTTTTCTTGTTGTTCTTCTTCTTTGCCGCTGTCCCACAACTAGCTTTAGCATACGACATCCCGCCAGCTCTCGTGAAGACCATGACTAACCTGAATTGGACGCTAGGCTGGGCTCCGTGGCCGCTGTCGACGACATGGTAGGCAGGTGTTAAAGAGGTTGCATGCAGCTGGCTGCGATGTCTCTGGGCGACTCCAAGGCCCTTATATCGCGCCCTCGTACGAGGATCTCTGGCGCAAGGGCGTGCGAGATTGCCAAATCAGCGATCGAGCTCCTCCGCGGCGTCGACTCCGATTCGTCTATTCGATGCTGCGGATACTCGTATAGCTGAAGCTGAGGTTTGAGGTGGCGATGCGGCCTCGACCTGCTGAGGGAGCAATTGAGACAGCGGGCCAAAAATAGAGAGACAGACAAGGGTTCTCAACACTTCTAGAAGGATTGGACACGCGTGAGAGAGGCGGCTTGCAGAAGACAAGTGTTCCAATACGAGACTATCGTGGGATACGAGGCCCTGGTGCAGATTGTCGTACGTATCCCCATGCCGCATTCGGTCGGCGGGCTTAGTCATCACGATTTTCCCTTATCAAAGTCCTCCACTTCCGCGGGCTTTTTTCATTTTTTTTTCTTCTTTTCTCTTCATCTTACAATATCTTCGCCATCACACTAATGAAGGAGATCATACCACTAATGGCTTTTTCACAATCTCGCGCGAAGTAGATAATCTCGCCTTTTATAATCCCGTTGCTTGCTCAATAATCTCACGAGCGCGACGGGTTCGCTTATGTGCGGACATTCGACTTGATGAACAGGATTTTTTTCTTTTTTTCTTTCACAGATGGAAGAGAATGAGGTCTTGTCAAGATAAAGTGCACTTGTATTTTATTAAACCACTGCGCCGTAATGAACCTGCCGAGTGTGAAATCAAATATATGTGTAACAGTCACCAATCATTGGACTCAAGCCTTGGTCTTCCTCGTCCTTGTCGTCGTCGACTTCGTAGCCTTGGCCTTGGCTGCCTTCTTGGGAGTGGCAGCCGATTTTGTCTTCGCCGGGGCCTTTTCTGTTGAATCGGCAGCCTCCGTCTCTTCGGCTGGCTTTGTTTCCTCCGGGGCTACCTCTGGAGCAGCCTCAATCGCCTTGACTTCCTCCCCATTGTCAATCGCTGCGGCAATAGGTGCAGGGACCTTCTTGAGTTCTGGAGCCTCAAACTCGTAACCCAGCTCCTTGAGCTTAGCAGCCTTCTTTGCCCGGTTACCTCGCTCCTTTGCAACCTTGGCTTCCCAGGCCGACTCAGTCAGAGGCTTTTCCAACTGGATACCAGCCATCTTATTCCACGGCACCTTCTTGAATCTTCTGTTCGCTCCCTTGAACAAGTCGTCGTGTACCTGGTCCTTGGAGAGAACCTTGCATTTCAGAATGTGTCCAAACAACAGATAGTTGTCCATGGTCTTTGAGACAATCTCGGCAGTGCTGGCCTCGGTAAATTCGACAAAGGCAAAGTGCTTGCTGGCGCCAGTCTTCTTGTTGCGTGATAGACGCAGCCGGGAGATGGGGCCGAATTGAGACAGGTATTGCTTCATTTCGTATTCGTAGAAACCATGGGGTATTCGGCCAATGTAAACAACGCCAGGCTCTTCCTTTGAGGCCTTGATCGACTTCTGGACATCTTTCGAGACCTTGGGGATCTTGCCAACGTCCTGACCCGGTTGGAATTCTTCGTCGTTCACGGGGGCCTCTTCTTCCGGGTCAATGTTGACGGCCAGAGCCTGAAGGTTTCCCTCATCTTCTTGTCCCTCAGACTCGGAATCTTCCTCCATGTCGATCACATCTTGCTTCTTTTCTTCTTCTTCTTTCTTCTTCTCCTCCTTCTTAGTCTTTGGTGACTTGGCTACCTTGGGTGACTTGGCTGCCTTGGTCTCGACATCTTCCTTCTTGGCGGATTTCTGCTTCTTCAGCACAACGGGAGAGGACTCTTCGGCGGCTGCGATGAAATATATATCAGCATGAGGTGGAGGTAAGTCAATTCGAGTTGGTGGCCATACCCTTTCTCTTGCCCTTGGGGGTGCTGTCAGGCTTTACGGCGTCGGTAGTTTTCGGTGACGCAACTATACACAATTAGACGAAGGTCGTTTACAATAGCTGTAAAATAATTCTTACCCGCTCTATTGCGAAGTACTCGCGCCATGATGTGGACTGTGATGTTTTGTCGTACCTTGAAGGCGATGGGCGAATCGTCGCAGACTTGCGTCCCAAAAAAAATTACTGGAAAATTTACAATTCTGCCGTTTTTCTTGGGCGGTGAAAGCACCGAACATGCGCCATTGGTGGGGGGTTCCATGTCCACTAACAGCCGCTATGCCAGTTTTAGTAACAAGCTCTGTCGATAATTCAGGGCACTTTTTACCAATGATGATTGTCCAGGGTACCCTCTGATAAGTCGGAGAAGATATCAAGATTCCAACAAATAATTGTTGACTTGGCTATGTAAATGTTCTCTGTATATTAGTGTTGATTTGTTTCTTACTGATTGAATTCATGAAGAATTCGGTATAGCGTTCACGTAAAGGCTTGATGAATAAATTGTATTTCTTGCGCTGCTCAACTAGGCTTAGGTCATTGCGTTTGGCAGCTCCTTCTTCCCTTCACTCTTTTCATCTCTCTACCTTACCAACCTCAATATTCAAACTTCGCATTTTCATCACAATGAATATCGATGAATCCGATCCTCACCACGAAGAAGTCTGGGACGACTCTCTCCTGATCGATTCCTGGAATCAGGCTTTGAAGGAGTACAAAGTAAGGCCCTGACGAAATGAGACAGAGAGGCGTTGCCTTAACCAGAGTAGAAATACCACAGCATCCATGCGAAAGGCGGCAACATCCGAGACTTGGGAGAAGCCGACGCTAATCCATCCAATAAGTGTGTCTACTTATCTCATATCAGGCTCAATGGTTGTCTGTTTTGTTGTTGACGCTGTATATAGGGTCACAGAGGCTCTCAAAGTGGACGAATCAGGCAGTCAACCAGTGGCCGAGACCGTGACCGAGACCGAGCAACACGTCGAGGAACTGCCGAGCAACGATGCTGATGCAGCAATGAACGTATGTTTCGACGCACAGGCTAAGAAACCAACCGTCTATCATCTGCAAAGATCCTGCTCCTGTCATGGTTATTTGGAAATTTCAGCTTACCAAAGAACTGTAGAATTCCTCTGAGCAGCATAGCTCACAACCGGGGCACGGCTTAAGCTCCATCCCCAACGCGTTTCCGTCTCAGGCAATCCTTGGCACAGGTCAGTAACATGAGCGAGCAAGGCGATACCCCTGTTCTTATCCGATGTTCCTTGAAGATGCCGCACTGACACTGGGGAAACTTTCCGAGCTGCGATTAACAGTGCGCGATGACAATCTGAAAAAGCTCCTCATGTCATGGTACTACGCTGGCTATTATACCGGCCTGTTTGAGGGGCAGCAGCAAGCACAGCAGCAGGCACCGCAGCCCTGACCCGGACCACGTTGAATGAAGCTGGGCCCGTCCGTCGGTGTCGACTAACTGATCGTGGGGAGAGGAACTGCTGCGCCACAGTTGAATGGTGAAGCTGGGGTGGAAACACTGCGACAAATGGTGTTCCACAGCCCTGCTAGTACGGCAACCGTTGCGATGCTTTGGACCTTTGGCGTCTCAGGATGGCGCTGGTGGAAACAACGTGCCAGTGCATTTCCAATCTATCTCAATGCATGGATGTTTGGTCAAGCTCTACCGATTTCAGCCACGCTGCGAACCGATAGTTTCTTATCGGATCATTTGTTTCATGTTGAATAGTGGTCGGAACGGATAAGGCTTCTGCATTATGGAATTCGTGATAAAGCCACTACTAGAATTACGCGTTTGTTTGATCTCACGTCTGGACCAAAGATGACACTCGTCTTGCAGCGAATCGTTGCGGCTCCACACTGCATGCTATTCTTCTTTCCTTTCCGCCTCTTTCTTACCTCTTTCTTCAACCATCTGCATTCTGCAGGCTACAATTTGATTATTAACTCTTTTGGCTGTCATTGTGGGGATTCTGCGGGCGGACAGGTTCTAGGCTCCAGGCCCCAAGCTTTCTCTCCTTGCTGTCAGTCTGGTAGCGAAGGAGCCTTAAATTGAAGGGAGAAAGATCGCTAGGTCGCGTTTCGATAGATCCGGTGAAGGCAACCCAAGTCGGGAAGACCAAGTCGAGATCGCATTGACTCCTAGGATTACAAAAGCGACAAGCTACCGGTGGGAAATGCGCTACGACCCAGTCCCCGGCCCATCTGGAAGCCGTGTTTCACCCTCCACAATAGCGGTTTGAGGTTCCTCGCGACTAGTTTGGCCTCGAGCGCTTGACGATTGTTCAGACCTCAACCCCTTATGGTAGATAACTGTGACCTGTCCATGCTATTTCGGGAGTAATTGGAAGTTTGCGGCCTCCAGCGTTGATGTAGCTGCCAACTCTGAGTCTGCTTCTGCGTTGACAATGGCTTTTTCTTCAAGGGACGATTCTGGCTTATGAAATGGCGCTAGTCGCATGAAATTAATATCACAGTTGATATTGCGCATTACTCAGGCCATACTGAAAAGGAAAATGAATGCCCGATTCATATTGGCACCTCACCTAAAGAAGTCTGGAAAAGAGCACGGCAATGCGCAGTGCCGTGCACTGTTTATTTGCCGTATCCGGGGGTGCTCTGCATTGCATCTCCACCACCTTCTCGCTTGCTGAGCATCATACAGGGGCTTAACGTGGCGACCGATAACCAAACGCAGCTGATTCACGGTTAAGAAAATGCTTCAATAGAGCTACATATGCATATGGCTCTCAAGAAACATGCAGCTTTCTTGTGGTCCAAGGCCCTAGCCGCTGAACCGGGGTTGGTGACTGGGCCACGCCAAAACATCGCCAAACGCCACTCGAGACAACTCTGTTACAGGTTTCTCCTTGACCCCCTGCAAACCACCAAATGCGCAAAGCAGCACGGAGCACCGCTGATTCGGAAGCATCGAGCCCCGGAATACAACTCTTTAGCTCGGAAACGGGGGGTTCAAGGGTCTGGTTCCATCAGACAGAAATGGCTGGCCCTATGCTTGGCCGCATGGCGTCTTGACAGATAAAATGTCTAGCCCTCCCCGAGTCGAGTAAAACATTCTTTCGTTTCCTCATCACTAGTCTCCAATTGTTTCGGCAGTTGCTCTCTTTCTCTCTTTTTTTTCTGTTTCCTTTCCATTCGCTTCACGAGCAGGCCCTCGCCATACCAGCCCTTTAAACTTGGTTGATTCAAGTATTTCGACAGCTCTCCTTTTTTACGTGTACAAGTCAGATTTTCAATAATTCACCCACACCGTCAAGATGAAGTTTTACTCCTGGTTAGCTTTGGCCTCTGCGCCTCTTGCTATGGCCAACAAGGTCCAGAATGCCTACCCGGACAACGCTGCCCGATCAGTTGAATTGGAGATGGATGAGCGAAGCATCGCCATTGCCAGCGGCATGGCTGGTCACGGCATCACTGCCAACGCTCTGACCGAGATCATCATCATCTGGGCCAACCCCGGTGGCGGTGCCGCTACCACCACCTACAACCAGAAGGTCACCGTCACCGAGACCGTGACTGTTGGAGGACAGACCACAACCGCTGCCGCCGCCGGTGCTACCCACACCGTGACTGTTGGAGGAGCTGCTGGTCTTGTTTACTCTCCTCCTCAGCTCAACAACATCCCCGTTGGTGACACCGTCATCTTCGAGTTCCAGTCTATGAACCACACCGTTACCCAGTCTGCTTTCGACACTCCCTGCAAGAAGCTCGATGGTGGTATGGACTCTGGCTTCCAGGCCAACCCCAACAACACCATCTCTCCTGCTCCCCAGGTTGCTATGCAGGTTATGGCCTCTACTCCTCTCTGTAAGTAGATGATTGGGCGCATGAGGCGTCTGAAAACATCTTCTAACATTATCTAGGGTTCTACTGCCGACAGAAGGGCCACTGCGGTAAGGGCATGGTGTTCTCCATCAACCCTACCGCTGCCAAGACCCAGGCTCAGTTCCAGCAGATGGCTATTGCTCAGAACGGCACTGGTGCTGCTACTCCCATCACTGGTGGTTCCAGCTCTGCTGCTCCTGCTCCCCCGCCTGCGCAGTCTGCTCCTCCTGCTGCCGCTCCTCCTGCGGCTGCTCCTCCCGCTCAGTCTGCTCCCCCTGCTGCTGCTCCCCCTGCCGGCGGAGACAACAGCATCCAGCCCGGCAAGGGCACTGTTGGTGCTGATGGTAGCTGCTCTTGCTTCGTCCAGTGCGCCCCTGGTAGCTTCCCTGTGAATGCTGCCCAGGGTGTTGGTTCTACCGGTGGCTGGGGTGGTGCTCTTCCCATGAACATGGCTGCCATGTCATAAACGCATTAATGTGATCACAACTGGAGGGAGACGGTGGCTTGGTGGTGTTTTTAAAAAGGGATTATTGTAGATCTAACTCATTTCTTCTTACTTGTACTCATGGAGACTGCCCAAGGGGCCTGACTCTTTTTTCTTCACTTTTGTTGAAGGTATTGATATCATATGACTGGTTCGTATACATTTTATTTGCAAACTTAATGAACTATTTTCAACGCACATAAATTCTTCTGTGATATGAGTACTGCTGCATTGCACTGACTGCGCTTCTTCACACTGCTTTTTGGAACTATGAGATAAAGATAAATTGTTCTGTGTGGGTGTCTTCGGTAGAGGGCAAGCTGTTTTGCATAGACTGTACTGTCATTACCAAGCAAAATTGCAGCCACTATTCGTTACTCGCGCTCACTGGGTTTATTTTTGTCAGCTATATATGTTGAAATCCACTAGAATTGGGCACATCTACTAGAATTATCCACATCTACTACCATCTACTAGACTTATCTATATCCACTACCATATATTAGACTTATCTATATCCACTACCATCTACTAGAATTGGCTCCATCTACTAGATATATCTATGTCCACCGTATTTGTACATTTTAAGCGCCGTTGGAGTGCATGGGAGAAATATCAGAGGTGGTACCGCAGCCGGGCGGCAAGGCAGTCGCTTTTGGAAAGCGTGGGCGCCTAATATATCATAGCCACACTAAAAGACCGGGATATAAAATATCATATCATGAGGCTACCCCTCTCGCAATGTTCATTTATAATCCGCATAGATATGGACCATGGACCCTGTTGGGCTAGCAGTCGGAGTTATCGGGCTCGCTGGCCTATTTTCGACCTGTCTTGACTTGGTTAAAAGGGTTGATAACTACAAGCACTTCAAAAAAGACGAGCAGATCTTAGCTACCCAATTCGCGGCCTACAGGCTCCGTTTTGAGAGATGGGGCAAAACTTTGGGACTGGACCAGACAGCGTTGTCAGGGAACCAGACGGTGTTGGCAGGGAGTCAGACAGCGTTATCAGGGAACCAGACGTTGTCAGGGAATCAGACGGCATTGTCAGAAGACCAGCACGAGGCTCTTGGCAACCCCGACACATTGGAGACTGTGCGTAAACTTATCGAGATCATCCGCGAAATATTGAGTGACCAAAAGGTCCTTCCCGCTCCTCCCGCTCCTCCCGCTCCTCCCGCCCCTCTCGCCTCTCCCACCTCTCCCGCCCCCCCTCTTCCTCCACCACCTCCTCCTAACCCTACTGTTAATTCGAGCCGACTTCTGGGTAGGAGCTTGACAGAGCCGTTTCGAATAAGTTTGCGGCCTAGAAAGGCAAAACTCTCATGGGCCCTGAAGGGCAAGGCAAAAAGAGAGGACCAAGTAGAGCTTTTTGGGAAGTTAATCCAACACTTACATCACCTTGTACCCATAGAGACTATATCTCGAAACACAACTGCCAATGGGAATCAGTCACCCAATACCACTGCCCAAATTGACAGCTCTTGGAAAACAGAGGTTCGAGATACTCTGCAGAGATTGGAGGGAAAAGCCCACGTAGAGACACGTCGGGAATTACACGCTTGGTTAGTTAGGCATCCGCCCAACGAAATATACGAGGATGCCGTTCAAAAAAGACTTGAAGACACTTGCGAGTGGATTTTCAAGCGTCCTGCCTTAAAAGACTGGCTATCTTTACCACAGAGTCCGGGAGCACCTAGCATCTTATGGATAAATGGGCCGGCAGGATTTGGCAAGACAATTCTTTCCGCTTGGATAGTCCAGCATCTCCGGAAATCTACCAATACTCCAGTGGCAAGCTTCTTTTTCTCATCAGATTTTGAGAGCCGCGACGATCCGTATGAGGCTATCCGATTATGGATATGGGAGATCATCTCGCGCAATCAACCTGCGTTTGACTATGTATACATCGAACGAGAGAAGCAGAACGAGTCAGCGGCAACCCGAGGCTTCATATTGAGCCTCTTTTCAAATATTGTGCGTCTTGTACCGGGCTGTATTTTTGTCATTGACGGACTTGATGAATGTACCTGGATGAACAAAAATAATAACAAGATACGGGGCGACTCTATTACAAGTTTCCTGGAAAATCTCGGTGGAGCAATCGCTGGCTCCGATACGCGAATCCTCATCACTAGCAGAGACGAGCCCGCGATTCGATCCGGATTTGAGAGCATTCAAGGTACCAAATCTGAGTACAGTATCGTATCCGAGGACGTTGGCAGCGATACAAGGCGGTTTGCGAGAAGTATTATTGAAACAAAACTGTCGAAAAAGAGCAAGTCGCTTAAGATTCGCCTCTCAGAAAAGATGGCTGAGAAATGCGGCGGTCAATTTCTCTGGCTAAAATTACAGGAGGACTCCTTGCGCAGCTGGAAGAACGAGAAGCAATTACAAGACGCCATTGAGAAAACTCCCTCTGGCCTTGACAACCTGTATCATAGAAACTGGGTAAGACTATCCCAACTACCAAGGGATGAGAAAGACCGCGCATTTTCCATACTCCGCTGGGTCACTTTCGCCATACGGCCTTTGACTATTGCTGAGATTGCCGAAGCCGTGCTGATCAGCTTTGAAGACGAAGAACTGCCGGTAGATGATCTGCCCGATTTCATCGATGACGATTACGTTAACAGCGAGATAACGGGAGTCCTTGGGTCACTCCTAGATATTCGAAAAGGCTCAATGAAATCGAATCCCGGACTAAGCACGTTACGACTCACCCACTTCTCCGTGAAGCAATACTTCCTTTCTCACGATGCTGTCTCGGGGGACACTCTACAAGCAAATGAGAAGCTGAGATCCTCTAACGAAAGGGCAGAACACATTACTTTGGCACGATTATGCCTTCGATACATTCATTACGAGCAAGTTTGGCAGCTTCAATGCGACCAAGAGCTGGATCAGGTTCAAGGATCCTTCAGAGATTATGCGGCGGGCTTTTGGGATCGCCATGCCCACAATGGTAATTTGGAGGACGAAGTAATCAAGGAATTAATGGACTCCCTATTCGACACATCCAATTGCGTTTGGGAGTCTTGGAAGAACTGGTTCGATTTGAGAGAAAAGGATATAATGGAAGGTTTCTTCGATATGAGTGAAAATGCCGGTGATATGCCGCCACTCAGCCCTGTGTATTACGCTTCGAAGCTTGACCTGACTCAAGTCACTATACGGCTAATTCAGAAACATCAAGATCAATTAAATGACAAATCGTTCTTCGGAGAGACAGCTCTTGCAGCTGCATGCCAAAACGGTAACGAGGCAATCTCCAAAACATTAATTGCGGCCGGTGCCAGCGTCACATCAACATCATATGACGGAACAAGTCCCTTGCATGTGGCAGCTTTGAATGGCCATATAGGCTTGATACGATTACTACTCGAGAACGGCGCGGAGCCTAACGCCGTGGACAAGAGATTGGAGACTGCTCTTCACTATGCCGCTTATGAAGGTCCTGCTGAAACGGTGGAGCTTCTGCTTCAATACGGCGCAAACTCGTTGGCTCAGGACTCCCAAGGGATAACTGCGCTACATCGAGCAGCTTCACATGGACGCATAGGTGTTGCGGAGTTATTACTTCGTCAGAATGTGGAAGTGCTGCACATTTCAACCGATCGCCAAGAGACGCCTTTGCATTATGCGGCCATTCAGGGCAAGGTAGAGATGGCACGGTTACTCCTGGATTACGGAGCTGATCTTGACGCCGTTGACGCGGATTTGTGCACAGCTCTACTTGTTGCTGCCTTTTTCGGCTTCACTGACGTGGTCCGCTTCCTACTCAGTTTAAAACCTAAACTCGATATACAGGATCGTCGGGGCCAAACAGCCCTTGCATGCGCTGCTCTAAATGGGCATTCCGAGATCATTCAGCTGTTACTAGATAGTGGCTCTGATCCTACCATTGGCGATGAGTTCAGTTGGTCAACCCTACACCTCGCGGCTTTCCAGGGCGGAGTGGATGCCGTACATGTTCTTCTTAGAAATGGAGCAGACATCATGGAAACTAGTCCCTCTGGGTACAATCCTCTCCATTGTGCAGCTGAGGGCGGGCAAGTTGAAACTGTCAAATTTCTTCTTGAAAACGGCGTTGATCTTCTGGAAGCTCAGCGCAATAAAAGAAATACTCCCCTAAGTGGCGCAATTGCATTGGGTAAGGTGGAAGTGACAGAATTCTTCCTCAACTCTGGTGTAAGCCATAGCGCTGTATTGGAGACTGGATTACTGCCTCTTACCCTGGCATCCCATTGGGGTCAAATAGATACGGCAAAGCTCCTCCTTAGCCACGGTGCCGACTTAGAGGGATCGACAGCAGATGGAGTAACGCCCCTACTAGCAGCCATATCGAACAATAAAGTCGATATGGTGCAGTTTCTCCTAGAAATGGGCGCAGACGCGACAGCCGCCGATAATGACGGAAATACTGCTCTGAGAAAAGCCATTTATGAGGGTAATGTTGAAATCGTCAAGTTACTGCTCGATAACGGCGGCGTCGATCCTACCGTCGGAGATGCTCAAGGCTGGAAACCGCTCAATCTAGCGGCACACAATGGACATGTTGAAATCATCAATCTTCTTCTTGAGAGGGGATCCAATATCAGTGACACGGATGTCGACGGCTGGACACCATTGCATTCGGCAGCAGATGGAGGGTATCTCGATACACTTGATCTCTTCTTGAGTAAAGGGATCTCACCGGTTGCCTTGGATCATATTGGCAGAACAGCCTTGCACGTAGCCTGTCTAAAAGGCCATCAAGACATCGTTAAGAAGCTACTCGACCTATCTAGTCCAGACGAAGTCAACCGTTCTGATGCCCATCAACGCACACCCTTGTTCTATGCGGCTATGCGTGGTCATCACCATGTATCAAAACTACTGCTCTCAAAGACTGCTGAAGTCCATCCAATAGATTTTTATGGCTCTACGGCGCTCTTTGCTGCTGTACGGAATGCGCATGAGGAGGTAGTCGATCAACTATTGACATGCAGTGGAGGGATACCCCTAGATTCAAGGGACGCTTCTGGTAAAACTATTTTCGATTGGGCACGCCAGAGCAACAATGTCCGAGTCATTGAGATTCTTAGTCAGTTTGACAAAAATGTCAAAACTGCGGCTGAATCTGACTCCGTTATTGCACAGACACATCAGGCCTTCGACAGCGAGGCATTTTGGTGTGACGTCTGTACTCGTTGCATCAGTGGGGATTATTTTGAGTGTTCATGTACCGGTGAGTTGATTGCTTGTCAAGAGTGCGTCGCAATGGGTGCGAGATGCTTAGATGAATCACACGTATGGAACGCCACAAAGGCAGACTCTTCAAGTGAGGAAGAAGATGATTGAAGGAACATCATGTACCTGAAAAGCATATTCTTGATATCTACCTCTACTATCACTACATTTTTCTAGTATATTCTACTATTATTATATATTTTTAGTGTCCAATATCTGCTGCTGTAGCTATATAATTATTTCGCACATGCTTACATTGCAGCAAACCTTTGTCTTAAGCTACATGCCTTCTATATTATGCCTTCTAACAACCCAAATTTGAAGTCGCCTGCTTCCCATTTTGGACGAAACCTAAGCGTCATCTAGCACTCTTGAGTTTTTTAATAATATATCATTATGCAGTCTTCATCAACGAGAATTTAATTTATCGTAATCGCTCACTCCATGTGGACCTTGTAACTAGCTTGCGTAGTGGCCGTCGATATGAGAACAAGAAAACATACAAGCTCTGATCTCGAGTTATACAATATTTCTCGCACGCTCGTTAATCGCTGCTTTCAGACGACAAAGGAAATCGGTTCATGGCAACCATCTCGACAGTCAGAATGGCACTGGAGTTTGAAGAGATGGACGCGGTGCGACTGTAGTGAACCGCACGACAAAAATAACGGCAGCTTAGTTCAGTTCCAACGAAATGCTCATCTTGGAAATCTCAACATGGTTAGCTGTAAGATATCTGCGATGAATGCGGCGAATACTTATACCATCTTGACAAGCAGAGGAAGACCGTCACCGAGACTTCCTCCACCAAGTAATCAGGACTGCGAGAGTCGGTGGCATGGAAATGACAAGGGCCACCAATGCAATAATGGTTTGGGTGTCTAACATCACGAGGCGACTCAACCAGCCGAACCTCCAGTGATCGACTGAAGATAGAGCGGCGACAGCACCTTCAGGTAGGAATTGGCGAAGAGTAGCTTTGACAGATGACACCGCGAGGGGTAAATGGAACAACAAGTAGACGGCGTATATATTCTTTGCTCTGTCACGATTGACAAGGGAATTTGCGATATTCGCGAAACAAACACTGGGGCATTGAGAAAATAAATACGTGACACGGAATAGAAAGGCAGGGCGGGCCATACTCCAGCATTTGATAGTGTCTTGCCTCCTGAGGGTTTTGGTAGTATTTACATCATGAGGGTTTTGGTACTACTTACATCGTGAGGGTTTTGGTAGTATTTACATCGTGAGGGTTTCGGCAGGATGTCAGCTGCTGAGGCTTATGGGGGATTCTCAGGCTATTGCGGGCCTGGTAATGAAGGCCTTGGATTTGACCAATGACTTAAAATGTGGCGTTTTGAGAGGTTTGGAATCGGCCAATCGAACCATGTTCCATCTCTGACGGTTTTGGCAAGGGCTGAGTGCTGCAGTGGTTGTGATTTGTGCCGAAAGGAGTTGACAACGCATATAGACCAACAGGGGTATGCCAACAAGATCGCCTAAGCTGCAGCCTTTTGTGAGGCGTCGAATTATAAATTAAACGACTGCTTCCCCACCAACTCATTTCATGATTTCGTCCATAACAAGCTGACTTGGTCTCAATCCATTGTTTCTACTCTAATTATTCGCCATGGCGTCTCTTGATTGGGAGTCTCATAAAGCTGAGATTCAACGTCTTTATATCGATGAAAATAAGAAAATATTGGAAGTGGTTCACGAGATGAAATTCTCTCGAAATTTTATTGCAAGGTCAGATTGGGATGCTGTTCAATAACTTACCTGTCAATAGCGAATCCTCATACCAGCGAAAGTTGAGGGAATGGGGAATTAGGAAGAATCGTTTGGGAAAAGCGAACTGGAAGGTTATTGACTATAAGATAAAAAAGAAGAAGCAACAGTCGGGGAGGAGCCCACAAGTTCACATTGATGGTAAATTGTGTCCTCCGCAAAAGGTTCGAAAAGAAATAGCACGTCAGGCGTTCTGTTCAACCATCGACAAGCTTTCTGTCCAAATTGGTATAATAGTTTTGTTGCTCATAATTATCTAGGCTGATGACTGACTACTCGCCCAGATATACCGTCACCAATGACACCCGATGGAATTCAAGTATGCTCTCCAGCATCATCTAATTCCCCTAACCCGTGGCCGTTAGGCTCGCCTTGGCTCGAATTTTTAAATATCCTTCCTTCGGACGTCTTTAAACGTAAATTGAACAATTTCACATATTAATGACATGGGAAAATTTACTAAATAAAGGCCTAGAAATCTGCGATTGTCGAAGCCAATTTCCATTCCAATCCTTTTTTTAAGGAGCCGGACCGTTTGGCTGTTATATTACGCAATCCTGTCCTTACCAAACATCATGGAGTCTCTCAGCCTCCGGAAACTTTTGCATCGAAAGAACTACTTGGTATGATTATGCCGAGATACTTCGAACAGGATCTTGGAGCTGCTAGCTTGCGATTTAGCTGTGATATCTCCAATACTCTCTTGTTTGACCTCTTTTGCCTTTCCAACAATTTTATACACGGATCATGGGCGACTAAGATTATGAAGAGCACCGGGTTCAATACTCCGACGTCATTTAGGTGCCTTCTCTCAATGAGATCCATCGCAGCTGATACGTTGGTGGGTTGTTTTTTTGCAAATGCGATGGAGACGGAAAATTTTGCCCTCTTAGAGATGATGTTAAATGAAGGGCTGGATCCAATTCGTCTGAAAGATCAAAGACAGATCCTGGAATTCACAGCCCAACACAGGAATATCGAAGTGACCAATCGCTTGACTGAAGCTATTTTCTCCCACCTGACCTCATCATTGTACGAAGGAGACATGGGAAGCCACTTTGAAGCTTGCATACGATGCTGGACAGATTTCTCTTTTATCTAGGATTATTCAAGCGGGAAAGCCTGTCCAAGATTTGGACTTGGCCATCTCGATATTTTCAGCCATCATGGATGGCAAAGTTTCAGTTACGAAGCTTCTCCTTCAGGGTGGTGCCAATGTCAATTTTCATGGAAGATATTTTGAGGATTACCCGGACAAAAGCGATATCCATACAATCTTTCTATATAATGGCGAAATATCACTCCTTGGCCTTGCTGCAAAGCGTGGAGACATCGAGATGATGTGCATGCTTTTGAACGCTGGTGCGGATATTGATGGACCTCACGACTCCCTCTACTGCCCATTGATTCTGGCATTGGAGAATGAACATTAATCCGCGGCAGAGACCCTGGTACAGGCTGGCGCCGACGTTTGCCTTGCGGAAAAAAAGCTGTTCAGTCTCTCGAATCGGGAGGATTGGGATAGTTGGGATACCTGTCATCAGGAACGCCTCATCTACTATCTCGACTATCTCCAGATCCATGGACACTCATGTTCAAACCTAGTAAAGAGTTTAATGTCAAATGGAGCAAAATTTCCTTACATCACTATCATGCAAGCAATCGAAAGCAACAATGCGGAACTTGCTCTTACACTATTGCCCCGACTTGGCGCATTTGAAGAGGAACCTGGAGACTTCGGCCATGACGCCATACATTATGCCATCATTCTCGAGAAAAAAGAGCTTGTTGGGAGGCTTCACTTAGCCGGTCTCTCTCTTGCAAAAGCTGTCCGTTGGATTCCTAATGAGGAAATGCTGGATTTCCTAGAGTCTCTCGATATAATATCTGACATTCCTTGCACAAATTGGGCTGGAATCATAGGCTCTGCGAGGCTTCGCAAACAGCAAACGCTTGCCCAGCGTCTTATGCTTCTAAGCAAAAGCAGCTACGTTGATTCACCCTTACCAACATTTCCGTCGTACGAAATGGCTTCATGGCAGCGCGAAATGGAGTATCTTAGACAAGCTATTTCACAAGGACTTCCAAGCTCGGAACTAGCACTCAGAGTTGCTGGTTGGAGTGCTGAAGCTTTTATGAGCCCAATGCTAGATATTGCCGATCCAGTCGTACCCATTATGGGGTTGTTTTTGGTCCATGCACACAACTTGTCTCTTCCTGCAGCTGCACATGTCGTTGGTAACGGACTTCTACACTCTATAGGTCTACTACTGGATGCTGGTGGGGATGCAATAGCCGCACGAACTCATCTAAGACAATATTATGATTTACATCAGTGGCTAAAGAACGAAACAGTTCCAGACAGGTTTATTGGGGGTATGGATGGGTGTGCGCAGCGAGAAATGACAGGTAAATGTCATTGCAAGGGCAACTTCTGGCTTGCATGTGACTCATACAACGAGAAATCTGTCCTGGTATCAATTGCCATTTGGGGTAACCTTCCCCTCTTTCAGACATTTCTCTCTTCTTTCAAATGGAGCAGCCAGGATATAGGGAATTCACTTGCTGCCGTTTTAGATTCGAGGAGAAACCGCAGCGTGATCCAGGAATTATTGGCTTTGCACCCAGACCCCAACGCAATATACAAAGGAGATACAATTCTCGAATCTGCGGCGCGATATACAGAGGTCTCGATAGTGCGCAACCTCTTGCGAATTGGCGCGAGTGCCCAAAGCATTGGATTCGCCCTACAGAGAGCAGCCTATTGTGGGCATTTGGAACTGATTAATATGCTGCTTGAGGCTGGCGCAGACGTCACATGCCCGGCTCGGAAAGGGGTTGCAACCGCGCTGCAAAGTGCGGCAGATCTTGGGCTTGTCCGTATTGCTTCTCAACTGATTGATGCTGGAGCAGATATAAATGCATTGGGGTACGGGAAGTACGGCAGAACAGCGCTGCAGAGGGCAGCATCAAACGGCCGCATCGACATGCTGCACATGCTTCTCTGCCGGGGTGCCAGGATTTATGATGATGCTCCCAATCAGGGCTACAGAGCGAATTATGTTCGAGCAGTTTGAATGGCCGAGCAAAACGGCCACAAAGCTGCCGCAAAATTACTTAAATCTCACGGTGGCTGGACTGATGAAGATGGGATCTTGTATTCCCAGATTTACGAATGGGTCATTGAGCTTGCCTGCCTCGATTATGATGACTACCTAGAACAATATTGATGCATGTTAAAGGATATCTAAAAACACATTTGGTTTCCTTCCAACTTATCTCCTTCTCCTTTGTCTTCCTCTCACAAAATGCTAGTGCATCCGCAGGTTAAGAGTAGGAGACTCGACTTATCGAGTGGGCTAACCGTTTGCTTGACCGCTGAAGGCTACACTAGCATCCTTAAACATGCAATCATTTAATCCATTGGATAATACACCTACACAATATGCAATGTGGTGCCTATGTATCTGACCGTCTCCTCAAGTGCTTCAGACAATAATTGCTCATCTTTCGTTTCCGCGCCGCAACTCTCCTCAATGCCGAGCGATCAGATGTCTCTGTTATGTGAGTCAGGCCACTGCACAGTTGTCGTATGTCTTGGCCTAATGGAACGAAGAAAAAAAAAGAAAATAAAAATAATAAGACAAAGTGAAACAAAACAAAATAAGAGAAGAATGTATAAAATTGGGTTGTGAGTTAATATTGCTGCACTGACATTATAAGTTTGGAATGTGAGTTAATATTGCTGCACTAACATTATAAGTTTGGAATGTAGACACTCTAGTACATACGACCATAGGTAGTGGAAAACTCGGGGTCCCGTCTGCTCCCCCATAGATAAGCCACTAACCGGCAGATTAGTAGTTGGGTGGGTGACCACCAGCGAACACCGGCTGTTGTATGTTTTCTTTTTTCCTTTTTGCTTTCCCCCCTTCCCTTGTCTTCTGGCGTCTCCTGACTGTTCCCAGTCTGTGTCGTTGTGATTGTTGCGTTCTTTGTGCCTGTCTTGAGTGTCTTGGCTCATCATCTCTTCCATCTTCCTCCCTTTTATATCATCTCTCCTTCATGTCCTGTTCCTGTATGTCTAGTATCTCTGACAACTCCTGCTCCTCCTCCATCCTCCGACAATTCTTGCACTTCCTACCACAAGTATATGAAGCAATGTGTGTAGCAATGACACGGATTCTAATATGATGTTAGAGTGAAAAGGACAACAAATCATGGCTTGTACTTACATGAATAGACCACAAAAAGCCCACTGGAACCCACCCTTAAGCTACATATAGCGGCCTTGAACACAAGCTTCTTTTCAGCATACTTGCAGGATTATCGCAAATAAAAGCCTACCATGGTACAACCCATGAGACACAACAAGGGGGATAGAGCCGAGTATTACCGCCTCAAGGTCTGGTCCAATGCTAAGGGTCCTGTTGACGAAGGCGACATATACGCACACGTATAGCAACCACCAGCAGAGTAATGTTACTCGAGCACTGTTCTTAATATTTGATGCCTCTCATTGTCTGATATGGATAATCCAATGCTCCCCGTCGATTGCTGATGTCAAGAGAGAAGCGAGTGGATGCTGAATACTGCTTCAGAGGATGGCGGAGCTGATGAGACAAGAAGGGCCATGCACGGGTAACATCAAATTGCCTGCTAAAATTAGGACTATTGGAGCCATCGTATCGATATGTAAATTGATGATTGCCGTATTTCATTCTCTCAATCGCATTTGCTTTCTCCACGTTCGTCGCTAGTGATCAGACATTTCTTAAACAGTGGTTGCCTTACACTCACATTGTGAACTCTACGACAAAGCAAAATTTTGAGCCAATCAGGAGCACCATTTCTTTCTCATTGTACCTTCTGTTGAACAATGTACATATGGGTATCTGTTTAATGTGTTTTCGTGTACAAGTACCATCTTGGTACCAACATGCTTGGCAATATTGAGAAATGAAGCGCCTTGAAGGTCTTGCGTCTTAAGTATTGTCAAATTTGGCACACAATATAGACCTAGTTAGGGGCATAATGAGTGCAATACTCGAATAAATGCCCAAAAATGCAAGGTGATCATTTTTCTTTATCGACAGTCGAGAAAGATACTGTACTAGTGGTAACGGCATTCGAGCATGGCACGTAGATCACTGACCTGCGTGCCGCTCAAACTTCAGATGTCTAAAGGCTCTTCTGCGAAATCCGTCGCGATTGTCTTCTATGTCTATTCGTACGTTTGCCTAATAGATTTTGAGAGGTTTTGGAATGGTTCTGAAACTGAAAGGGTGGTCGCTGAATGAAGAGCGAGTGGCCTTTGGCTACCGGCGCATGCATTATGAGGGGGAGAATTGGAACCAGATGAAGTGTGAAGCTTCAGACAATGGATTTATAGCTTGAACATGTGATTTTTGGTCAGAATACTCTATCCATCGACCCCATACTGAAGCTTGAATCGCCAACAAAGGGTCTGGTTCCACCTTTTACGCTTGTTAGTAGCTCATGGAGACTAAGTATAAGAAGCCCACTACGACTTCATACAAGCACATACGACCATATCCATTGGAAAATACGGGGTCCCGTCTGCTCCCCCAGAGTCAAGCCAATGAGAGGCAGATTAGTAGTTGAGTGGGTGACCATCAGCGAACACCGGCTGTTGTATGTTTTGTAGTTTTTTTTTGGTTGATGTTTTGTGGTTTTTTTTTTTTTTTTGGTTGCTACTCCGTAATCTTGGCTACATCCATTATACGGAGTTGTAGGCTCAAATGGCACTGAGTTGGTGGGGCTCGCTACAACAATACGAGCCCGGTGGTTGCATACGAGCACCGGGGACAGCGAACCATTGTCATTTTAGGTGTTAAAAGCGCTCTGGAAACCGGGGGCGGACCTTGAGCTCACTCTCCGTATTACATACGAAAGACACGAGCAATCCACTGCTATGCCTGGATAAGCAGAACTAGCAGCGATCACTTACAGGGCACCGATTTAAGCTATAAGCACATATATAACTGACAGCCCATTTCGTGAATCAATGAACAAAGGGGTAGCCTTTCCTCGAGCGTTCAAGTTTACTCAACATTCCCTGGATTCGCTCTTTCTGGCGGCGGCGGATTGACTCTCAATCTTGACAACAGCAACGTGAATACAATACTTCTTTTTGCCATCATGCCTAGTGTCAGAAACATCTCAGCATCTTTACTGCTTGCTGGCCAAGCCGCTGTCAACAACTTGCCAGACAATGTATTCAACGTTCCCTTGACGCGAATTATGAACCTGGAGTATTACGGCATGGAGTTTGAGGTCGGCAATCCTCCTCAGCGGTCTTTTCTCAAAATCGACACCGGCAGTCCCACGATTGGCTTCATCTCGCCGCGCAGCAACATGTGCCTGCGGCCGGAGGCTCCGTGTGATCCTCTGGGAACTTACGATAATCTCACTTCGTTAACGGCGGTGGTGGCATTCCCAGGCAGCTATCCCAACTACAGCGATGGCCTGCTTGACGGCGGCAAAGGTATCTTTGTCAATGACACGCTTCGATTTGCGGGCGTTTCCGTTGATGACTTTGTCCTTGGCTCGACCGATAGCTTCAACCTCGATGTTCGGCTGTCGCAGTCTAACCCATTTGCAGGCATCATGGGCTTGAATGCCTTGTGCTTCACTGGGCCCCAGTGCGACGTCTACCCGACTTTGGTTCAACAGCTTTCGGACCGTGATATTCTGAAGACTCGTGCGTTCAGCATCTACCTCGGCCAGGATGAACCGCACGCGACTGGCCATCTTCTCCTGGGCGGTGTGGACGAAGCTAAGAGGGATGGGCCCGTCTTTACACAAAAACTAGATTCTCCATGGGAGGTTGAGTATTCGTCCTTTACACTGGACAAGGATGGAGAGAAGACGGTGTGGCCTATAGAGCCCGGAAACACAGTCAGTTGGGACACGGGTGCGGCCTATTTTGGTCTGCCGACGGCTGTGTTCAACGCTGTTGCCGCCGTTCTTGAGCTTCCCGCAAACGTCACCTCGACTCAGGACCCGTACGAGGTGGACTGCAAGCACCGCGACATTGTTGACACAGTCCTTGAAGTCGGATTCCCAGGCAACGGAACCATCAAAATACCCGTGGGCCGCCTGGTCACGACACTTGACTCGGGCAAATGTGTCACTTATGCGCTGAATGGAATTGGTGGCTCTGGGGAGACGGATACTGCAACCAACTTTGGAGCGCCTTTCCTTCGCAGTGTTTATGCAACCTACAATCTGGACACTCTGGAGCTGACTTATAGTCAGGTGAAGTATACGGATGAGGAGCAGATTGTGGCAATCCCCGCAGCTAATTAGGAAAGCCTGGTGGAAGAGCTGCTGCGTTACGCAGACATATTAAAATAGACCTTAATGATAATCATGTCTCTACTATACAAATATTTTTGACGATATCATGCGATTGAGTAAAAGTGAGACCCAAAAATACTGCACGGTCTTGCTCCCTTGGCACTAGCGAATGGAGAACTACTCTGCATTTATGGAGCAATCGTACTTTCGTGAGCCCAGCCATTCGTTGCTGTCCCTTGTAAGTCCTTGCAAGAAAGCAGATACGAGATGCCGCCAAGATATTGTTCTGGACCGTTATCCTGAACCTACGTATTCTATCTCTTCGTAGCGCCGGAAGCCGAAATTAAAGATGCAGTGAGATCTTCATCTTATACCACTTGTTGGTACTATTGAAGCTTCTTACATGGATAAGTACAAGATATCGCCGCTAACCCTCTCTAACACTCAAACCATGCATATGCATTTTGGAGCTTACATTCAATGTCACCTGAAATATGACTGTTTCGTAATCAATAGCATTGTAATAGTGTGCTTAGCAAATTTATAGAGAAGCCCTGAAAATATACGTATTCAATGGAGTGTTTCAAGTGAGCTCGAAGTGGCTAAGCCATCAATATTGCGTTGAACACTGTGGGCGATTCGTCATTAACCGCCGAAATGCACCAACTACCAACGCTGCCACACCCTAGTTTACCAAGATTTGTGTAAGCTGGTATACGCAACCAACTGGCGAATTAACTACTAATACGCAAGCCACTAGGCCTGTTTAAAGTCGGGAACTCCTCACAAGTCGAATCCTTCGACGATGGAATTATCACGACAGATCGAGAGCGTGCTTTAATATCCCTCATTCTGTTGTCAAATACAGTTGATTGCCAAAAAAGCCATCATTTACTTGAACATCAGTTGGACTTAATCCTAGGAACCGCCATGAGCCCGATACTGAGCGTGTCGACAAAAATTGAGATTGCGGCGTCTCCAGCTGCTGTCCGATCAGTGGTACGCAAAAGATCTACCTTTGCGCATGGCAAACATCATGATAGAATCGCCCTGTGTACTGAATATTCGCTTGCAGTTCTTAGACTTTGCCCGATACACGCAATGGAAGCCAGGCTGGATCATCCAGCCGGCTGACGCTAGCAAGCAGCCGCTCGACCTGAAACCTGGCGATGGCCTCAAAGTCAGCATGGACGGAAAGGCTCATAACCCAGTGGTAGTGGTAGGTTTCTATGTGACTGGAATGATGAGCAATAGATGTGCTAAACCGCGAAAGGAAAACTCGCCCAAATCTTTCCAATGGGAAGGATCACTGTTCGGGCTTGGAAAAGGCGTCCATCAGTTTCACTTTGAACCAAGCGGAACGAATCCAGGAGGCACCACGTTTACACAAGGAGAGGATTTTCGAGGACTCTTGATCACACTCTCCTCGCCGTGGTGGAGTGGAAGGAAGTTTGATATGGGCCCTTGGGATAAGTTTAATGCCGATCTGAAGAACGAGGTGGAGAAGTCTTCGAACTAGGGCTCCAGGCGCATTTCACTTTCTTCTAAGCGCTCAAAGACACAGAAGGCTGCTCTCATCTGCTACGAAACTAGCAGGCCGACCGACCAAAGAGTTATCTCGCTCTTGCTCCTCATCTAGTGCTGTCTTTTCCATTATATAGCGATTCTACTACTATCACCATCACATACGACCATAGGTAGAGGAGAATTCGGGGTCCCGTCTGCTCCCCCATAGACAAGCCTCTAACCGGCAGATTAGTAGTTGAGTGGGTGACCATCAGCGAACACCGGCTGTTGTATGTTTTTTCTTTTTTGGTAGTCATGATAATTAGTATATTATTTGGGATCGAAGTTGTCCGCTTGCTTTGCTGTCATGTATGCAACCATGGGAGGCGACTTGCACTGTAGATGTAAATGTATCTAGGAGATGTAAATGTATTTAGTGAATGCAGACCAAAGCAAAGTTTCTCCCGAACCATTGCGGAACTTACTGTCAGCGTAATTCCTCTACTGAAATAATGTCACAATTGGACGTCTGTCCAAGTAACCGTATCTGATTCATGATAGTAATAGTCAGGTGATTCTCATATCGCACAGGCACGTGAACAGTGAAAAGCTAGGAGGAGACCGAGATCAGTGGAGCAAGAGTCTTGAGGATTGGGAATGCTGGAATAGTAACGGCAACTCATTTAAAAGTCATTGAGGTGCTAGTCGTGCAAATTGAAGCCTCTCGGATATGCTAATGAGTAATTTACAAGATGTGTGCCTAATTGAAACATAACATTCTTGGCAAAGTGGCTGTTTGTTTGCTCTATCACGCTGCTTGCTTGTACTTTGCCCATTAAGTGTCACAGACCTCATGGCGGTGTCACAATCACTCCATCCATATCAGTTTCTTCAGATCGCTCAAGGTAGCGACAGCAAACTTGCTTCGCGTAAAAATTGCTACCATGCTCAAAGTCAACGACAACCACTCGGCCGACGAAGGAAATGTTCGCATCCACATCATCATGAATCAACAGCAGGCCGCCAAACCTATGAAGATGCACCTCGAATCTGGACAAATCGTCGACGCAGGTCGGCTCTCCATCAACTTTTTGCAACAAGACTCCTATGACGTTTCTGTCATCAGTCAGATGGCCGAGGGATCTGGGTGCATTGGGGTGCATATCTGGATGATGGCCTGCCACTTTGAAGCGCCTCTGGGTGAAAACGCACTATTCTCTCCGAGATCAACAAATCAACGTGCAGCTGATAATAATTCATCACTGCCTCGGACAACAGGCTTGCAGAGAGACGGTTGATGTACATACGCTATCTCGAGCCCGCGAAATGGTTCATGGCAAGCCGACAGAATTCAGCAGCATGCGAGCGAGGAGATGCGGCCGACAGAGAACATCATCGTTGAATCACTCCTAAGGAGATTGTATAAGGCGGTAGATGCCTAGGCCTACCTTTTCTGAGACAGTCATGTCTCGGGACATCAGCCGTGTATCGGGAGAGAGTTTTCAGCAGAATCTTTATGGGCTGTGGTGGGGTGGGCAAGTTACTCTGCTTGTCGTGGTTATGATCGTATTGGCTATCACTTTTATCCCAAGGAACTCTGTGCCGATATTATTCACCCGATTAATCTGGTTGACACAAGATCGACAATGGGTAGTAAAGTCGCCAAGTCGCCTAAAGATGACACAGTCCAGCTCAGCGTTGACAGCGCAGGTCGCTCTGTGATTAGCAGTGATCAATATGCTGGACTTGGAAATAACCTCCGACACAGTCTTATATCTTACTAGAATGACGACTAACCCTTTCATCCTATATAATATATCGCTGTTGACAGTCCACATCGCATGAGTTACCTCTCAAGATTGCAATGAAGTTACATATATAGGCCGTGGTATGTTCTTTCCATTGCATAGCTGAGTTGCGATAGTTTTCGCGTGTTTTATCTTCATATACAAGCGATAAGCTAGGTGATATCATGAGAATAACATCAGATTTCAGTTACAGCACGGCGCAGCAGTGCTTCATTTGTAATAATTCACGGGCCAACTGATAGCGGGAAGGGAAGCGCCCGACATACAAGAGAAGGCTTACCAATGCAAGCGAATAAAGTCTCCTTATTTCCGTCACGTCTCAGTGATTATGCATCTATGGCTTTGCAATTGCAAATGAAATCTCTACGCCCTTGGAACTGATGAGTCTTCACGGCGTTCACTTGCATATTTCATTCGGCGATAGACTCAGAACTCCAAGCATGACGTTGGAGCTAGCTCTAAATGGCAATTTCTGTATAGCTTTTTTCCCGCAAGTGGAAAATGCAGACTAGCCTCAAACGGCAACATGATTGAAGCCTCCTCTTCCACATCAAGTATCGCGTTGCTTTTGAGCTCGATATCTTCTCAACCACAGCATCATTTCGAACGTTTGTACGCAATTTCTTACTAGAAACAATGAGAATGGTAAGGGTTCTACGATTTTAGGACATCAGTCTTGGTTAGAAAGAAAGGCATTGCCTCCTAGAATTAATTCCAGTTACATTATTAATCATCATCAAGAGAGATCTAGCATTATTGTACCACGGTGGTGAAGCTGTATCAGCGATCGGGTTGTATCATCGACGTGAAACTAAGGCAATTGGAATAATTACATTTTAAAAAAAGTGCCGGGACAGCGGTTTGACAGCTGAAGCCCCGATCGATTGAATCTCATCACAATGGAATGGGTGGCCTGGGGGAGCATTGGGCGCGGGTCTCAAACGTCTTTCGTGGGAAGATCAAAGCTTTTCATTCGACAAGGCTTAATTGCCGAGAGGGTCTAGAACAAGCTAGCGGCTTGCAGAGCTTATTTCTAAACGCCCTCTTGATATGTCAAGATATCTAGACCCCTGCTTAGCAGATCTCGGTACTGCTTGTGAGTCTACCAGATTGGCATGTTTGTCATCCGAAGATTCCGTTCGAAATGTCGTTATTCTGCTTACATTTAGACCGAGAAAAAATTGCAATTGATATTAAACTTTTCGATATAAAGTCAGCCTTTTGTCCTCGGTCAAGATGATACTACAACTTCAGCTTCAGCATCTTTACTCGGCCTCACAGCATTGATCCTCATCGCAAGAACATTCCCAGGGTTTATTACATACCAATTGAGAAGTTGAACATAGAGTAACGGCAATATGTACGAAACCTTTCGAGAATCGGCGCTTGGCCAAGCCATTCGCTTTGTTTCCAGAAACAAGTTGCTGCAGTACCCAGAAGAACGACCAGATTTCGTGCTCCCACCAGAGTATCTAGCATTGCTATCTAACAGCGAGAAACAACACCAGGCAACATCAGACCGATCGAATTCACATCTCAACCAACGGTCTGGTAGCCCTGATCCAGCATCAGATTCCTCCCAAACTGCCGATGAAGATGGCGAGGATCTGAGGAGGGAGCGGACGGTGGGGAGTATCCAGAGGGGTCCATACATGGAACATGGAAGATACGATCCTGAACAGCAAATCGAGCTGAAAAAGACCAAAAGCGAACCAATTGTGCCAGTAAAGACGAATGACGGCGTTATTCTGGTAGACTGGTATACGACGGATGACCAAGCAAACCCTCAGAACTGGTCATCGTTCAAGAGGAGCTACATTGTCTTTGTCATATGCTTATATACATGGGTCACCTACGTGGCAGGTTCCGTCTTTGCCTTCTCTGAACCAGGCATTGTTGAACATTTCGGTGTTAGTGTAGAGGCATCTGAGCTTGGACTTGCTCTATACGTCTTGGCCTATGGTGTAGGACCACTCATCTTTGGCCCTCTCACCGAGATTCCAGTTATCGGCAGAAATCCTGTCTACTATCTCACATTCCTTGTCTTTTTTGCTCTGTCATTCCCAGCAGCGATAATCAACAGCTTTGGCGGCCTCTTGGCGGTACGATTCTTTGCTGGCTTTTTTGGCAGCGTTGGTATCGCCATTGGTGGTGCTTCAATCCAAGATGTCTTCACACTCATCTATTTCCCCTATGGCCTTGGTTGGTGGGTATTGTCATTCTGGGCAGGCCCCGCCATTGGACCAACCTTTGCTGGATTTGCAGCAATGGAAAAGGGATGGAGGTGGCCGCTCTGGGAGGTTGTATGGATTTGCGCTGTCATGGCTATCTTCCTGCTTGCTCTCACCCCTGAGACGTCTGCGCCCAATATCCTTCTCAGGCGTGCCAAGCGACTTCGAAAGCTCACTGGCGATGCTCGGCTCCAATCCCAAAGCGAGATTGACCAAAGGCACATGTCAGGATCTGCCGTTCTCATTGCCGCGCTGATCAGGCCATTCGAAATTACCATCAAGGACCCCTCAATTTTCTTCGTCAATTTGTACACGGCCTTGACCTATGCAATCTACTTCACCTTCTTTGAAGTATTCCCTCTAGTGTTTCCACCTTTCTACGGCTTCAACCTTGGCCAGACTGGCCTTGCGTTCCTTGCCTGTGAGGTTGGCTCAATTCTGGCGCTCCTTCTTTACTTTGCCTATCTTCATTTTTACATGATTCCAGACAACATTAAGAATGGATTCCGAGAGCAGGAGCATCGTTTACTTCCCGCAATTTTCGGTTCCGTTGTTCTTCCAATTGGGCTGTTTATATTCGCCTGGACTGCAAGAGCCAGTATTCACTGGATTGTCCCGTTGATTGGCGTGACCATTTTTGTTTTGGGCCAATACATGGTTATTCAGGGTCTCTTTATGTACGTGCCGGTTTCATACCCGCAGTACGCAGCCTCGATTTTTACAGGCAATGACTTGATCAGATCAGCTGTTGCTACTGGATGTATTCTTGCAGCCAGGCCAATGTTTATCAATCTTGGTGTGCACAAGGGTGTTACAGTCCTTGCTGGATTGAGCATAATGGGTATCATTGGAACATTACTCATGTACAAATATGGCAAGACTCTCCGCGCCAAGTCTAAGTTTGCACAAGCTTAGATAACTGGAATCTCAAGGAATCACGCGACTCACTATTCAGATTCGCAGTGCTGTATTGCTGTTCCTTACGGGGCTTCTTTGTGGTATTGAACATTGTTTGCTTGTTGAATAAGACTGGATGATGGCTAATTAATGAGATCTACGGTGTCGCAAATGTTGATTAAAGGTGTTTATAAATTGTTTTATGTTTTCATGATATGATGGGTGCGCATGGGTTCAAAATAAAGTATAGGATGTAATAGAATAATCTCGTAGCATTGTCACTTATTGTTCATTGAACTGCACGTATAATGCGCATATCGTAAGCCGTCGAACGAACCTAAGAGGCCAAAGTGTGGAACTAATGCATCGAGTAGAGGTATTGATTACATGTACTTACCCTACACGAGAACAATTTTGATGCAAAATTGTTCAAACACATTCTCCAAGATCAAGTTGATTAAATTATTTCTTTTTCTACTCAAACTTGATTTTACGCACGACTGAACGTGCTATAATACACCAGTTCCAAAAGCCTCAGGACAGACACACAGAGATTCACTCACTAATTTTCTTTGACACTATGAGAGGGATTATCAATATAATTGGGTTAACTGAAACGTCTTCTCTTGATCAAAGTCTCATGTGATTAGACTTATAACTACATATTAATAAATATACTGAATGAGCCTTATTTACGAGCGGATATCAAATACAATCTTTGCGAATTCGCCTGAAAGCTTGAAAGAGATTAGCAGCTGCAAAACGGCCTTGCATATTCCAATACGATTTCTTTATGTCACGGAGTTTCGAAATCTCAGACTGGCTGGCTGAAATCTTAAAATCTCATCTCTCCGAACAATAAGCCGGATGTTTATCTGTTTGTATACTTCTGATGGAGCTCTTGTGCCGCTTATGCTTACATTAAAGCAATATTTGGACATACAACGAGATAATTACATCATCAATTCAACAATGCCTTCGTTCGGAATAGATTGGGTGCCCTTGGGCTTATACAAAGAGTTGTTATATCCGGCTCCACCATCAAGAACGTCATCGAGTGGAGGTGATAAGTTAATGGCATCAAAATGCAGCAGAAGACAAAACAGGTCAGAAACCGCGAGAACAAATTTGTGGTCCTACCAAATCGAATTGGCAGAAACGCACAAGGTGGAACGGCCATTTTGCGGTCCGAAATCATATCACCAAGCTCTTTGAGGATCTGGCAAACATCAAACCGGTGAAGGCTTTGCTCTACCAAAAACTAATGGCAAATCCAAAAGCGCCCCAAAACTTACAGACGATGCGAGCCACACGATGACACGCCGGGGCGACATCTTTCTTGTTCCAACGGGCCTTGGTCTGATTCTACCATTGCGCTCTGATGACGAGAAGGGGATAAGTCCCACCACCACCAATATGAACACGAAGGATTCCAAGGTGGAACAACCAAGTGGTATGATGTCAGTCAGGATGGTGCATATACCCGCATTGAGCAAGACTATGTAAACCTAGGCAGCGAGTACGGACCAGAACTTTTCTGACGGCTGAGATGAACGGACGGTGGTGCGCCGGAAGCCGGAATAGCCGGCCCAAGCAGGTGAGGTGATAGATTCGCCCTGGCAGACAGGGACAGTGGATTCAGATTCCTAGCGCAAATTCTGAATGCCCGTTGAATCTTCTTGGCATAGCTTTTTCTTGATTCTTTGTTGGTGCCTAGCTTTACATGGGTTCTCGATCAACTGAGACCTGCAGGTATCGCGTCTACTTTGTTGATTTAATTCCTGGATCATAACTCATATATTGTATTAAAGTGGAAATAACCCCTGAATTGTGACAGAAGTATCTCTGATGGGCCAAAGTATCTACGGAGAGATGCAGTAGTCCAAGGCACCATCGTCACCTTGTTAGGTAAAACAGAGGTAGGCTCATCGGCTGACCAAAACTTTGCGAAACCCAAAATGCGTACCCAAGGAGTTAGAGCCAATAACAAAATGGAGCTCTCTGACACAACGTGTATGACAGCTTTCGACTGCTCGTGAATGAGAGAGCATGATTCTCAGGTCAAAGACGCCTCACGGGCCGATCGGACTTGGCATTATCAAATGGTTATGCCATGATTGATCGACAGGAGGCTTCGGGCATCGTCCTGTCCTCTTCATGCTGTGGCCTAGAACAGAGAGGATGCCAAAAAAAGTAACGAAAGACGGTCGGGAGCTCTGAAGGATCCCGGAAAATTTTGGCCCTCTAGCTTCTAGCAGAGTCTAGTAGGCTTGGCCATCTAAGTTTAGAAGACGGCCCCAGACGCAAGGCCAATCGAGATCGAAGGGAGCTGTGCGATCCCTGTCGATTCGAGCCACGCTTTGAAGCCACAGCGCAGCAGACAGTGCAATCACCTTGGAGCAACTCATCCGGGAAACAACACAAAGTAGGCCGATGTCATGATGGTGTGCTCGACAGTTGCGGCTGAACTTAAGTAGTCCACCCCGGCTTCCCACCAGTTCCAAGTTTCTTCCCCACAGCGGCACTTGGTGAGCCAAGACCAAGCCAAGATGGACCAAGGTTTTTATTTTTCCTTTTTTAGGTTATTAAGCATCACATGGACGGTTAAAGCAAACAATGACCACCCACAACAAAAGCCCGTATAACAATGTTATTGCTGCGAGACATCGGTGTGTAACGCCCTGGGTGTACCGATTCTCAGCCATGCCATCAGGTTGCCATCGAACAGAGCCGGTTTTCGGTCTGTGATTCGGTGCCTGATTCAAAGTAGGAGGGGAATTAGCCCCCAATGGCTTGAGACGCGGATGAATGGGTTGACCCGCACAGCTCGGGAATAGTTCACGTTTGGCTGCATATGCTGCAGTCCGTATTCTCATCCACAGCTCGTATGATGTCCCGTGGAAATCGGGTGAAAGCTGACACAGTGCGTGCGACAGCCCGTATTCACAGGTTGTCCCCGAATCACTGGGTCACGGCAGATTTCAGCTTCGTATGACTGCATTTGTCTAAGTGATGCATGTCTTTGCTGGCCTCGGCCTCTCCAATCAGATAGATTGGGGTATTTGGCTGCAGCAATCCGAACCCCCTTGCGTTACTCGAGTTGCAGTAGTACACTGCATTTTGGAAGGATTCTCATTGTCATGAAATGCACTGTGCAAGCTCTTCGTTGACCTTAACCACTCTAACCGTATGTATCCAAGGGAGCCAGCAACCTGAAGTCTAATTCCCCTCACTAGCAGTTCCGATCGTAATTCTGCGGCACCTTCGGAAGTCGGGCTCTCCACGCACAAGCTCAGGCAGCTCCACCGTCCCCCTGGCTCGGCAAAAGGGGCCGCGGGGAAAGCAAGGTCAAGTTATTGGTCTTTGGGACCCTTCTGCCTCCGCATTCTTGCTGGCCATGTGTTCTGTCCAACCGTCAAGCATTGTTCAACCGAACCAACAGAGTTGACGGAAAGAGACCGCTGTCAATGGCGAAACTGGTACAGTAACTGAACCGGTTTTAAACCGGTCTTAAAGAAACAATGGCAATGAGAAGGAGGAAATCTGACTTGAGTCTCATATTAGACGCTGTCTCATAGTTTAATAGCTAGCTCTATGCTCACCACTAGATGCCATGCTACGCAAGGGAGACCTACCGGTTATTTTTGGAGAACTCTGCTCGGCTTCCGAGCTGATTTCCAGGGAGGCAACTTCACATCATGGGATTTAGATGAGCTGCCTCTGCTACCTGCAGCAACCACCGGTTCAACCACCGGTTGCCACTCACCCTGTCTGCGTCTAGCTCCGGCCTTGGTCCATCAGCCATGGAAGACCAGCCGCTGATCCGTTGAAATTCAATTGAGCCAAGATTCTCACCCCAACAACTCCTAGTTTAGTTGAACTGGGCTGGCTTAACCTCCCTTTCGCCCTATTTGGACCAGTTTCGGACCCGCTACTCGCTGAACTCAGACATAGGCGGTCCACCACCATCTCAACGCTTCATGATGTATCATTTTATTATAGATGATATAAGTGGTATTTAAGGTCTACGATTTGTGTAAAGCCACGACAGAATGCAGGAGTAATCGAGGGAATAAGCCGTAAAATCTGCAGGGATGACAGTTCTTTGCCTTCCATTGTTTTTTCAATAGCCTTCGTAACAAGGTTAATAACCTCGTATTCCCTTGCATATGGGCGTTTTCAGCCGTCCAATGACGACAAAGAGAGGTCTCGTATTGCTCAGCGCTATACCGATACTATGTAATGACTCTAGTAAAAAGCTAAAGCCTTTGGCTGAGCGACGATCCGAATGGATGAGACGTACAGTGCTTGGCTGGATCTATTGATGCTGCTGAAATGCATGTTTCGTTATACAGGCTGTGAGTGGCCGAGCTCCGTGATCCTAATCTCCTCATCACCGTCCTTGGCCAGCTCATGGCTGATTGTGGCCGCTTGATCGAATATGGATGCGGCTGAGCCTTGGTCAGAGAGGAGTTCCAGCCCAACTTTCTCTTTCTGGTTGAGTTAGGCCGTATTACCTCTTTCTCTAGGAAGCTTCTCCCGTGTCTCGTAGTTTGAAGAGAGCTATATAAACTCTCCGTCTCGCCTAGATCACAACTCTCTTTTCTCTTCTTATCAACTCATCATCTGTCGACAATTCCCGAGGCCTAGACACTGATCCCTTCTCCTGGGTCATCAGTTGCCAACAGAGGCCGTATCTTGTCAATCTTTTGTGAATACCATAGTCTGGCACATTTTGATAGTTGCCCATCATGTTGCTTAAGCAGGTCCTTGTGGCCGCTCTGCTCTCTTTGAGCTCTGTCACGGCTTTCCCAAACCCGAACAACCTCCATGACGTGGAGGCTAGGGATGTCGAAGATAACCTCGTTGCCCGTGGTGGTAACCAACACGACTGTGGCTCTTACGCCAGCTGGAACAACGGAAAGAACTGCTGTGTCTGCAAAGACAATGGCAAGAACTACGACTCCAAGACAAAGTCATGCAACTGTCCTAGTGGCTACACCTGGAATGGTCACCAGTGCGTCCACGACTGTGGCAAAGATGCTACTTGGCAGTATGGAAACTGTGTCTGCAACAAGAAAGGCGAAGTCTACAACCCCAAGGACAAGACCTGTAGCTGCCCACCAGGACAGTACTGGAACGGCAAGAACTGCCAGGTGGATTGCGGCAAAGACGCTTCATATGACTACAAACAGAAGAAGTGCGTTTGCAAGAAACAAGGCGAAATCTACAACTCCAACTCCAAGACTTGCAGCTGCCCCCCTGGCCGGGTTTGGAACGGCTACGCATGCGTTGTTGACTGTGGCAAGGAAGCGCACTTTGACAATAAACAGAAGAAGTGTGTGTGCAACAACTACGGCGAAATCTACAACTCTGGCAGCAAAACTTGCAGTTGCCCTGGAGGAAAATACTTCAACGGCAAGAAATGCGTTTGCCCGTATGGTAAAGTCTGGAACGGTAAACAGTGTGTAGAAGACTGCGGCAAGGAAGCCCACTTCGACTACAACCAAAAGAAGTGCGTCTGCAACAAGAAGGGCGAAATCTATGACTCTTCCAAGAAGACTTGCAGCTGTCCCGATGGTCAATATTTCAACGGAAAGCAATGCGTCTGCCCGTATGGTAAAGTTTGGAACGGCAAACAGTGTGTTCCCGATTGTGGCAAGGAAGCCCACTTCGACTATAACCAGAAGAAGTGTGTGTGCAACAACAAGGGCGAAGTCTATAACTCGGCCAAGAAGACCTGCAGTTGTCCTGATGGCCAATACTGGAACGGCAAGCAATGTGTTTGCCCGTACGGCCAAGTCTTCAACGGCAAGCAGTGTGTTCCTGATTGCGGTAAAGAAGCCACCTTCGATTACAACCAGAAGAAATGCGTTTGCAAGAACAAGGGAGAGATCTACGACTCCAAGACCAAGACCTGCAGCTGTCCCGATGGCCAGGTTTGGAATGGCAAGCAGTGCGTCTGCCCGTACGGCAAAGTCTGGAACGGCAAGCAGTGCGTAGAAGACTGTGGCAAGGACGCCCACTTCGATTACAATCAGAAGAAGTGTGTTTGCAACAAGAACGGAGAGATCTACGACTCCAAGAGCAAGACTTGCAAGTGCCCTGACGGTCAGTACTGGAATGGAAAGCAGTGTGCCTGTCCATATGGCCAGGTCTTCAACGGCAAGCAATGTGTCCCCGACTGCGGCAAAGACGCCACCTATGATTACAATCAGAAGAAATGTGTTTGCAAGAACAAGGGAGAGGTCTTTGATCAAAAGACCAAGACCTGTAGCTGCCCTGACGGCCAGTACTGGAACGGCAAGCAATGCGTCTGTCCATACGGCAAGATCTTTGACGGAAAGCAATGCGTAGAGGACTGCGGCAAAGATGCTCATTTCGATAACAATCAGAAGAAGTGCGTGTGCAACAAGAACGGAGAGATCTACGACTCCAAGACCAAGACCTGTAGCTGCCCCGACAGCCAGTACTGGGACGGATCCAAGTGCGCATGCCCTTACGGAACAGTCTGGGACGGCAAGCACTGCAACCAGGATTGCGGCAAGGACGCTCATTTCGACAGCAACCAGAAGAAGTGCGTGTGCAACAAGCAGGGCGAGGTTTACGATAGTAAATCCAAGACTTGCAGTTGCCCCGACGGCCAATACTGGGACGGATCTAAGTGTGCCTGCCCCTACGGCAAGGTCTGGGACGGAAAGCAATGCGTGCCAAACTGCGGCAAAGATGCTAGCTACGACAGCAAGCAGAACAAGTGCGTGTGCAAGAACATCGGCCAAGTCTTTGATAGCAAGTCCTTGACTTGCAGCTGCCCAGCGGGAACCTCTTGGAATGGCTACGCTTGTGTGCAAGATTGTGGCAAGGACGCTCATTACGACAGCAACCAGAAATGCTGCGTGTGCAACAACAAGGGCCAGTCTTATGATAGTAAGTCCAAGACTTGCAGCTGCCCAGGAAACCAGTATTGGGACGGCAACAAGTGCGCGTGCCCATACGGATCGACTTGGGATAGCAGCAAGAAGACTTGTAAGATGAACTATCCTTGATGATATTTTATGAGTTCAAGAGGTGATGCCTTCAGAAGGTATTATCTTTTATACTTAATAAGATGTGGCAATGTTTTGTTCTTCAAAATAAGTTGGAAAGAAAAAAAAAACGAGTGAAAAAAAGATTTGATATTTATATTGGACTGGATAGGAAAGGTCGTTCCCTTGATGACGAGTGGGATGAAATGTGTATATTATTCTATATGGGGTACATTTTAACGGCTTAACCACTGTAGTAATGCCGATGACTTAAAAATATCAGTCATTATCCGTTACCTTTTGTGATTTTTGCGCAGTTTAAAACTGTCGTAATCTACGTAGCAGTTCATAGGGTTATTCCGGCAAAGGAAGTATACTCTCTTGAGAGTATACACTCCATATGAAAACAACGTTTGTACTTCATAATTCATGGGTATATCTCCGCTAATGAGACAACAGTTTATACTATTCAGAAGAATTTACATGCAGCTAAACGGCTGTGGAATTGAAATCCGGGTTGATGATGTCCTCTTCCAACACTGTACCGTTCAAAAATCGGGTACCTTTTCGCAATATCTCAACACGGCCGGGATGCAAATGACGCGGCGGGTCATTAACTATCGTGCCATTTGCGAAATGGATGCCATTCCAGGGCTTTGACAAAGTGGCCATTTTGAGCTTTGTGTTTGCGTTTGCCAGCAGCGGTGAAGATATCGTGCTCACGTCGCAGTTCTCGCTGACCATGTACAAGTTCAAGCCAATAGCCAAGGTGTAAATGTCTGCACTTAGTTGTTCCCAGTTATGTTGGCCCTTGACAACAACGCCGATGTAATCGGTTAAAATGACGGTCGGCCAGCTCTGGGGAGTCATGTTGTTTACACCCATCCAGTAGAGCGCTGGATTGGTGGGCAGAATCCCAATGCCTTCGATGGTAAGCAGAGTCGTGGTGACAATGTCCGCGCTCACAAGCCATTGACTAATGTGAAACGTATCAGAGCTGCCACCTCGAATCACTTGCTTCCAGTCTGATGCCTGGTCTTCTGCCATGGGCTGAGTGTCGCCCAAATCAGACCAATCATCTGCAATTGAAAGGCGATTGGCCTGGTAAATGCCATCTGCTACCGAGTCTTGGGGCACGGTTGGCTGCAAGTCCCCGGCAAGAAGAAACACTACACATCCATTTCCTCCGTTTTGGTCCATAAAATAGGACGCAGGCTTTTGGTTGAAAGTGGTGCTAGTGTCCAGGTTGCCACAGCGATTGTTGACGCCTTTGAGCTTGCCAAAGAAGTCATTCACGATCGAAGTTGTCCAGTAAATGGGTCCCAGGCTGGGCACCTCTCGAATACCGATCAGGTATCTAACGTGAAAGAATATGACTTCTCCAGGATTTTCAGCGGTGAATTGGTTGATCTCGCTGATGATATCATCGAGAGACTCTCCAGAATTGCCCACTGCAACTTCTGCTGTTTCATCATTGACGTGCAAGGTCCAAAAGCTGTAGTCTGAAGTATCCGTGATAGAGTGCACTGATCCGACACGAAGATCAAAATAACGAGATCCTGCGCGGAGCTGATTGTAGATGTTGAGACCTTGTGTTTGTGTATTCTCGCTGATACCTCCACTGAGAATCTGACCACTGATGGTGCTCATTCCAGCGTCGTGAGTGCCGGGCATGACAACGTGCTGAATCTGCCGGTCCTTGATGACTTCGTAGATGCTCTTCATCCAATTTCCGGCGCCATATTTGATAGACGTAATGAAGCCGTAGCTATCGCTTCCCGTAATCACCAGCGTCACTGGAGATTGGGCGGCGGGATCCAAGTATTCACGCTGACCTTGACCCATGCCGGTGAGATCAATTACTGTTCGCGCCGGATGTGAATCGGGAATATGAGTTGTAGCTCGAACAAAAAAGGTTTTGTCAGTTCCGTCAATGGCATAATATGCTTCACCACCGTCATCCACAGCCGTTTTCCCAGGCTTGTTGGTATAGACAACAGTGTTTTGGCGCGCATGGCCCTGCGGAATATCACCCCAATCAAATACATCCATCTGATATGAGTGCGTATTCTGCAGAATAAATCTATGAGGCGTCAGGTTTACAATAGTGATGTATTGCTTCGAGCCAGGAACACTGTTGACTAATCCAATGAGACTCCATGGCATATATGTTCCATTTGGTAGCATTTCATTGCTGTAAGTGACATTTTGAGGATTGCAAGCTGCATTAACAGCGGCCGCGAAGAGCCAGCCCAGGCTAATCGCGGCTAAGAGATGGTTGCGTCTCATTGGGGTCGCTTCGTACCCAGGTTTTGCGCTCGAATTTTGTTCTTGGCGCGCGAATGCTGTAAGTAATTTTCCCTTCTATCTGTACAGACAGATTAGTCTGTATGAACAATGCTTTCAGATATATGCCTCGCTTACAAAATCCCACAATCGTGTAAAAGAATGGTTGAACTATCAGATAACCAGTGGTCGAATTCGTGTACTGATGAAAGAATGACCAGCCGCAGGGCGGAATCTACAGGCTGAGTGTATGAGGAAGGGAGTTTCCAAAAGACAGAGAAATTTTCTACCTTCAGGTCCTGCACTGCGACTTTATTTACGACCATTTATCCAGTCCTTCCTGGCGAATCCTCGCCCTGGCCCACTGAGCTATTGTTCGTGACCACATGCTTTCAACGGCTGGCGAGAAAAAATTGTAGTGAGTGATTGCATATTAGTAGGCTTCCTTCCGCTAATGGTCAGCAGATGGTAGCTGCATTGATGTGAATGATACCTACTAATAAGAGCTTCGGTATTCTCCAGGGGTCACGGATGTAATTGATAGGTCAGGAAGAGTTGCACGCTTAGGACACTAGGTCATTAAGAGTAGTTCAAGGGGAAAGGAGACACCAATGATATCCTCTAGCTAATGCAAACTTTACGAAAAGCTTTAAGTGCCTAGACTTGAGAGCAGCTTTGAAGGGACATTGGCTAGCGGATTCATGACTACATATGGCAGGTCGGAATGCAATGCAACCCAATTGGTCGCCACTAGGAACATCGCGAAGTGCGAATGGCAGCTGAATCATAACCCTCGTGAAAATATGCCGAATGAGATCCAGATGAAAGAGAATGAGTACTATAGGCAGTCAAAGAATAGAACTTTGTCGACACATCTTGTAAGACTTTCAAGACCATGCATCTCGCGCACTAGGCTGCTGACTTGAGCATCAAAGCGTGAAATGCGCATGTGGTCTACGTATCTGTCTGTAACTTCGCACTGTCTCGTCATCATCCACTGTCTCACTGGGCACATCTCGAATATACTTTAGCCCGTGACCGAGGTCATGTAAACTGGATATACACCATGAGCACAAACGAGCCGAACCGAGGAAACTAAAAAAAAAAAAAAAAAACCCGGCTTAAACTGCGCTCTTTTGAAAGTTACAACGCTCTGAGTTCGCGCATGATATGTGAATTGTCTTCTTTTCCAAAAAGGTCTCTATGGCTTACAGCACAACTGCGGCTTTAGTTAGCATCGCCATAGCGCAAAGGCCGTGAGACAGGCACAGCAGTTTTAATACACCACAGGCAGCTAGAACGAAATGGAGCACGGGAATTATGAGGACCTAAGGAAAAACACTAACATCACCCGCCCAATCAATTTTTATTATGAATGATTAATACAGTTGCCTGCGCCTACTTGAATCCCATAAAATCTAATAACTAAGAGGCAGCGGCGATCTTGCTCGTCGTGTTTCTCGTGACAATCTGTCGCTGCCTCTCGGTATATCGCCTAGAGCTGCAGCATTGAGCCGAATATTTTCTCTGGCGCGATCGATGCGATGAACTAGTAAATGGCTCCTATTGGGGCTTGTCATAAAGAGCTTTAGTCTTGGCCCGAAAGCAAATCCTTGGAGAACAGGCCTTATTAGCCGTTGGAACGAAGCCAATACTCGCTCCATTCTTTCTCCGTTGTCGTGGAGATTGGACTCAAAATCTGAAATGCTATCCAAGAGGATATAGACCGTGGTAGTTGGCTGTATTTGCCAGAATAGTCGTTCAAACATGAAGCAAAGCGCATCGGTGTTGCCTGCTGCTACCGCGTCATACAAGCTTTGATCAACAAAGTCAAGGGAGAGGCTATAGGGTTTCGGATACAGCAGTAGTTGGCAAATGATACTCCTTAGGAGTCCCTTGGGACCAGAATCATCCTTTAGAGGGTCGGTATGACTGCTACAAAAGAACTGCAGTACCATACCGCTCTGAGTTTGGAGGAGAGTAGACGCGAAAGAAGCCGTAAAGAAAGACATTGGAGATGATCGTCCTACACTTTCTGTACGACAGCAACCATCAACTAGCACCAAGCCAGGCGCTTCGGATGATAACCATTCTTGGAATTGTCGTTTTTGCCTTAAAAGAGTGGCATATCCTAGTGCTTCATCGCTCATTAGACTTTCTTTGCGCAGAATACGCTCCGCATCTGCGATGGGATCGGGCGTCTGAAGTAAGTTGACGATATCGCTCTCAGTCAAGGCGGGCGCGGGCGTATGCTGAATGGTTTGTTGCGGTGTTGGGTTGGGAGCAAGGGTATTTGACGGGAGCGCAAAGAGGCCTATCAATCTTCAAGTTAGTTTTTATTATTCTGTTTGACACAGGAAGGAGGCATACTTACTTCGCTGGACAATAGCATCCGCCACAAATTGATACAAGGCGCTCTGCAGCTGCTCGTGAATTGACGCGGGCAAAGCTTCGACAAGTCTCTGTAGCCCTGCCTCAAACTCTTTTCTCTCTTCCCCATCTTTAGTCAGTCGTTTCCTTGTCTGTGCCATCTCGTCGCTCATTCCGTTAGCAGCTTCAACCATCTGTGAGCGAAACTGGTCCACCTGAGAAGACAACCTGTCATGGCCTTCGCTCGTCTCTTGTTGCAGTTCCACAACCTTGACTTTGATATCATGAGCTGTTTTCCGGGTGGCCTCGGCTGCGATACGCCCTTGCTGCGCCGACACTTTAGTGTCTTGCCATACGTTCCTATCCAAATGAGATGTGGCTTCAAAGACCAATTGCTTTGCCTTGTATATCCGTTTCGATATGCCACTAATCTTTGCCGCTTCTACCTCCGGAATCTGTTTGCCAATCTTCTTGAAAACTAGTGCCTCTTGTTAGAAAGAACACCGTGCGCATATACCTCCCTTGCGATGCCAAAGTCAACGTAGTCTTACCGTTAACGTCCTTATACGTCCTGTTCAAAATATTCAGGAGCTCTGAAAGACAGTCTACCAATGTCCCATAAAAGTCCCAGACCA